CCGCTGCCGCAAGATACCGCGACGCTGACCGCTGCACGGCGATCATCGTTGGCGCCGAGGTAAGCGTGCGTCTTTCGACTCGTGTGGCACACCGCTTTAGGCGTCGGTGACGGGGTCGCCCATGACGACGCAGACCAACGATTGCAGCTCGTGCGACTTTCGCATCGTCAAGATCCCGCCTCAGGTGCACGGACCGAACGCGACCCGTCCGATTTGGCCTGCAATCCAGTACTTTCCTCGCTACGGTGCGTCGTACCATCGCTTGACCACTGAATTTCATGTTACGAGACGCGTAGTCGGGTCTGCTCGCGGCGCGCCCGAGTACGACGCCAAGAATCTACCGCGCGGCCATTTCAACTGGTCGGTTTACGAGCCCGTGGGTAGTCTACCCCAACCGAATACGACGTTCGGGTACATCGAAGGCGTCTACGGCATTCTGAACGACCACGGCCTCGGCTTTGGCGAGAGCACGTGCAGCGCCAAGCTGTGGACCAAGCCGGCGTACGACGGCGGCCAGGCACTTTTGGATATTGCTGAGCTGTCTCGCCTCGCGCTGGAGCGGACACAGTCGGCTCGCAGCGCGATTGCGCTCATGGGGTCCCTGGCCGAAACCTACGGGTAGAGTGAACTCACTCACTCTTCCGTGGACATCTCCAACGTATGATATATAGGTACTACGGCGGGTACTGGTCGGGCGAAGACGACGACAACAAGGCCGAGGCTGGGGAGACGCTCACGATCATCGACGAGAGTGAAGCGTGGGTTTTTCACATCTTGCCCGATGACACGGGCGCGTCAGCGGTGTGGGTCGCCCAGCGTCTTCCGCCGACTGACGTTGCCGCCGTCGCCAACGCCTTTATCATCCACGAAGTTGACCTCTCGGACGCGACAACTTTTCTCGGATCGGCCAACCTTCATGACGTGGCGCGCCGAAACGGCTTTTGGGATGGCCACTCGGTCTTTGACTTTACGCGCGCGTATGCGCACCCACCGGCCAACCCGTGGTACTCGACGCGGCGCCAGTGGCGCGTGCTCACGCTGGCCAACCCGGCGCTCACTCTCTCGCCGCACACGGACGCCAATGGCTCGGACTACCCCTTCTCCGTGCCGGTCCGCCCAATGTTTTACATTTGCATATTTTAATTCTGCGCGACAGGCGGCGACTCGGCTGTCCGCGGCCGACCTCATGCGGTTTCAGCGCGACCACTACGAAGGCACGCCGTGGGACTTGACGCAAGGCGTCGCTGCCGGCGCGTACGGCAACCCGGATCGCTATGGTACTTTCAATGTATCAACCGCAAGGGTTCATGTTGCATTTGAAAGAAACGGGTCACTGGGACGGCAACGAGTTTGAGCGCGCGATTTCCATCTTTCGCGCGTCGTACTCGTACGTTGCGTCCGTCGCCGAGAACGGCACGAGCGTGCTCTGGTGCGACTTGCAGTGATTTCTTAGTTGGTATTGCTACATCTGCGGTTAGGGTGGGTCCCTACGCACCGCACGGCACGCTGTTTACGCCCGTGTACCCATTGGCCAGCCGCATGCCGAGCGCCTTGGCGACAGGGTCGCTTCTTGAGTACAATGCGTCGAGTCTTTTCTGGACCAACGCTGTCGTTGGCAACACAGCTGCCCGATTTTACAAGTTCGCGCACCCCGTCGTCGCAGCAGTGCAAGAGGCAGTTGAAGCCGAGTTTCTCGCAGGTGCCTGTCCAATTCACGCACTCGATATATTGATACGAATGCGTAGGTCTCACGCGTCTCCGAGCCACGGGGAACGCGACGGCGCTTGTCGAGCGTCTCACAAACGAAGGCGACGCCAACGTCGCCGCGGCGCAACGCGCGTTTGAAGACCTTTTCGCGACGCTCATGACGCGCTTCCACGACGGCTACGTCGTGAGCAACTTCACCGACGCGGTGCCCGTCGTGACGCCGATGGGATATCCCGACTGGTGGCTCACGGCGGCGGGCTACTACGACGGCAGCCACCAAGCGCAGTACCTCCTCGTCACGGCTTGGGTCGCGATCGTGCTGAGTGCAGCCATCGGGTTTTGGTTTGGCCAGCGATCCAACCGTCACGTCGAGCGCCGTGGCTACGTCCACCTCAAGTAGACGACTTTGCCACTCGCTTTTGTGTGCGGACGAGTGCCTTGGCTTGTTTTACAGCTCGTCAACCACCAAGTTTCCCGTTCAAGTGCATACAACTGTACAGGAATATGTATGTATGTACAAACGACCAAGTACTACGACTGCGTTTTGGCGGCGCGGGGCAGAAAGTACATGGTGAGCACATCGCGGTTGACCGAGAGATGCTCGAGCAGCTTGAGTTCGAGCATCTTCTTGGTCGTCGGCGCGAGGTTGGCGCCGCCGCGACCTACTTTGGTCTGGGCGAGCGCCATGGCCGCCTTGACGTCACCGCCGTCTTTGAACTGTTTGTGTACGCTGTCGATGGCCAAGCGCACGCCTTCGTCGTACTGCGACGCCGCCGTGAGTTTGCTGCAAAAGTCGAGAAAGCTACATACGAATGTGACAAATTCCCGTCGAGTTTCGTTTGTACCGGTCGTGGTACACGGCGATGGCCCACTTCTGGCCGAAAAACTCGATCCAGTCCGTGACCAGATTCTGCTGGAACGACGAGATGGCGCAGTTGAGGTACGCTTCGTGGAGCCCGACAAGGCATGCGAGGTTGGTCACGTTGACAGCCTCGCGTCCGAGGTAGGTGAGTCGAGAGAGAACGCCATAGTCGTCAAACTGCAAGCAACTACAAGGCGTCAGAACCCGCGTGCACGGTAAGCAGATACCAGTAAGTTTGCATCTCGCGGTTCTCGGTCGTAAGCGACTTGAACGACGTCGGGGCGTCAGGGAGCTGGATACGAACGTAGTGCAAGTCCCCACTCCAATGCCCCACAACAATCTTGGGCTGACTAAACACCGGTGGCGGACACAGTTTGCCCGCGTCAGGTCCACCGGACGGGCCCAGTGTCGCGCCCACGATCGGGTCGATCACACGCAAGAGAGACTTGGCGAGGAGCTCACCGCACTCGCGCGCACTGTAGCACTGCTGGTATTGCGCCTTCGTAAAGCGCCGGGAGAACCGGCAGAGGCTGCCGCCCGCGTAAATGCAGGGGTCCGACGTCTGGAACGACGCGTTGACGACGAGACGACCGTCAAACACGAGGCCGCTGTCGTTGATGGCGCGGAAGGCGTCCGGGTCGACGTCGTTGCGGTCGCAGCAGAGCAGTAGATCGCAGGGTAGCACGAGCACCGGCGGTGCTGGCAACGGCGCGCCACTCTCATCGACACCACTGGGCGTCGGTGGCTGGACCACGATGCCTTCCAGCACACCGTTGGGCGCCACCAAGTTGGTGACACCAATCATGACGGTCGGCTGCATCGACGTCACGTGCTCGCAGACGCGGACGTCGTCGTCGATGGCGCCGGTGCAGAGCCACGAGATGTGGGCGGACGCGCCGATTTTGTCGCGGACCGCGTGCACGAGCGTCGCCGCGTACGCATTCGTGCCAAGCACGATGACGCGCCCGCTTTTCTTGGCGCGCTTCCACGCTCGGAGAGTCTCGTGCACCTTTTTCGCCGAGGACGCGGCTTCGAGAACGACGACGCCCCGGGGCACGGGTGGCGCCACGTAGCTCTCGCCGTCGTACTCTGGCACGAGTCGGAGTGACGGCAAGACGGCGTCCGTGAGCCCTGTCGCGAGCACGAGGAGGTCGTACGGGAGACACGAGTTGTCGAGGAGGACGATAGCTTTGGCCGCGCGGTCGATCTGCACAAGGCGGCTCGTGACAACACGGACGTGCGTGAGGATGCCGGCCTGGTCGAGGTCGGTCGGCGAGTAAATGCTGGGCGGTGCTAACGGCGCCACGTCTGGTGTCGGCACCTCCAATCCGTGCGGCGCGACGAGCGTCACGTTGGTCAAGCGCAAGTACGGTACGCCGAGGAGCTGCTTGACGACCGTGAGGCCTGCGTCCGAGGCACCGACAACCACGATGCGCGCTGTCACGAGGGTTTTGGGCTCGGAAAGGAGGCGCTTGGTGAAAAAGTAGAGTGCGCTGGTCGCCAGGCGTGGGAGCACAACCGGGGTCTCGGGCGACGTTACGACTTGGCGGCGCGCGGGCGCAAGCACAAAGCTCTCCGAGACAAGCGGGCTCACGTGGCCACGCCGGGGCACGCTCGCAAAGAGACACGTCTTGCGGAAGAGCCGCAGCACTTCCTGCAGAAAGAACGGACCCGCGATCGCGTACACGGGGTTGAGTAAAAAGTGCGACAGCATCGCTTGGTCTTTGGCGCGGTGGTGGGTGAGCGACACAAACTGCTCGACGTCGAAAAACTGCTTGAAGCCAGACGTCACGTCGCTGTCCCGCGACAGCGACGCCAAGCCCACGACCGCGCCTACATGATTCGTACGAGTTAGCGTCCAGGCAAGCGACGTTCTACCGTGGAGGCGCGCAACGAACAGCACGTGCTTGGGGTTGTCGTCGAGGTCAATGTCGTCTTCTTCGGCTGCCAGCGCCATGTCCGTCTCAATGGCCGCGATCGACGTGGGCGAGAGCGTTTCGACGAGTGCACTCAGCGCGTCGCAGGGCTCAGTCATGCGAAAGCGGGAAATGCGCAGGACGCTGGGTACTTCTGGCTCGAGAAAGACGAGTGCGTCGCGGTGCAAGAGGTACAACACGTGCGAGTACGTGCTTGTGGGTTTTGCTGGCACGAGGGCAAAAGGCGCTAGGAAGAGCGGCGGGGCGATGCCCGGCGGCAACGTCACGACGCAGTACTCCTTGTGCTGGAAGAGCGCAAAGGCTGGACGCAAGAAGGCGCTCGAGATGGACGTGTACGGCGTATCCATGCAGAAGAGCGTGACAATGAACGCATTCCCTTGGACGTCGACTTTAGCGCGCGTGTCGTCGATCGCGCGAAGTATCGCAAACGTCATCTCGGTCGTCGACGGCTGACTGAAGCTCGCGACATGCGAGAGCGGCGCAAACACCCGCAGCACGGCCGCGACGTTGAGATGGTACGTTTTGAGGCGGATCTTGACAGTCGCTTCGTTGTCGTCCGAGCGCTGGACAGCGTTAACGCCCGGTGGCGGTGGGTTGAAGACCATGTGGTACGTCTTGCCCGTGGCCACGTCCACGCGGCGACCTACACGCCATGCGATAAAGAGATAGGACGTCGCTACATACCTGAGATGCGTTGAATGACTTTGTCGTCGGCCACATCGAGCACCAAAACGACGTCTGGCACGATACCAAAGGCGACGAGCGCCCGCGCTTGAGCCTCATTGCGGGGAAAGCCGTCGAGGAGCCAGCCGCGCGACACGCAGTCTTGCTGCTGCAAGCGGTCCAGGAGCGTGTCCATGATGAGCTCGTCCGGCACGAGCTCTCCGCGGTTCATGAACCCTTTGGCCTTTCGCCCAAGGTCACTGCCTGCGGCAATGGCCGAGCGCAGCATGTCGCCGGTTGAGATGTGGACGACGCCGTATTGGGCCACGAGCTTCTCGCACTGGGTGCCTTTGCCGCCAGCCGGGGGTCCGCAGATGATGAGCTTGAGCGGCAACGCCTTGAGCGGGTTCGTCACCGCGTTCACCGTTGCAATAACTTTGGCGGCAATCGCGTCTTTGGGTTGCAGCCCATCGATCGCCAAGATCGTCGACTGCGACTGGAAGCAGTCGACGACCGCGCCGCAGTTGTCGTGGTACGTGCCAAGACGAACCCGGATCGTCTCTTCCGTGTCGTCGGACCGCTGGACGACTTTGGCGCCGGGCGGTGGCGGGTTGAACACGACGTGGTACGTCTTTCCTGTCGCAATTTCGACGCGGCGACCTAGCGCAGCCAGTGAGAAAGCACCACTCATTTCTTATCCCACCCGAGATGCGCTCGACCACCTCGTCGTCGGGGACGTCGAGCACGATGACAACGTCGGGCACGATCCCCAACGCGAGCATAGCTTGGGCTTGGGCGGCGGTGCGCGGGAAGCCATCGAGGAGCCAACCTTTGCTCGTACAGTCGGGCGACTGGAGGCGCGAGAGAATCACCTTGACGATGAGTTCGTCGGGCACGAGCTTGCCAGCGTCCATGTAGCCTTTGGCCGTTAGCCCTAGCTCCGAGTTGGCGGAAATGGCCGACCGGAGCATGTCGCCCGTCGAGAGGTGGACGACACCAAACTCGTTCACGAGCAGTTCGCACTGCGTGCCTTTCCCGCCTGCCGGGGGCCCGCAAATCAATAGCTTGGGTGGTCCCGTCGCCGTTGCGACGATGGGTTTCGGTGGCGGCTGCGGCTTGGGGTGCGCGGCGGTAATCTCGGACGCAATAACGTCCTTGGGCTGCATACCGTCGACGTTGAGGATCGTCGATGTGGTGTGGAAGGCGGCGATGACCGCGCCGCAGTTGGCATGGAATGTCGCCAACCGGACGCGGATGGTCTCTTCCGTGTCGTCGGAGCGCTGGACGACCTTGTCCTTGAGCTCGGGCGGCGGTGGGTTGAAGACCAAGTGGTACGTCTTGCCCGTGTCGAGGTCCACGCGTCGACCTGAGATGCGCTTGACAACCTCGTCGTCGGGGACATCGAGGACAATCACGAGGTGCGGTACGATGCCTTCGCTGAGCATTGCTTCTGCCTGCAGCGCCGTGCGCGGGAACCCATCGAGCAGCCACCCTTGACTGGTGCAGTCCGATTCCTGAAGCCGGTCGAGAATGACGTGCACGATGAGCTCGTCCGGCACGAGGTCGCCAGCGTCCATGAAGGCCTTGGCTTTGAGCCCCACCTCGGTGCCAGCTTGGATCGCGGACCGGAGCATGTCGCCAGTCGAGAGATGCACAACGCCATATTCGCGCACGAGCAGTTCGCACTGCGTGCCTTTTCCTCCGGCGGGCGGGCCGCAAATGACGAATTTTGGTGGTCCGCACGGGTCTCGACTCAACTGCTGCCGCTGCTTGACGCTCTGGAACCCCTTGGTCTTGTCGGACGCCCCAAGCGCATGCGCGATCGCAGAGGTAACTGCGTCCCGGTCGAGGCTCCCGTCAACAGTCACGAGGGCCGTCTCCTTGGCGTAGCACTTGAGGACGGCGGCGGCTTGGGTATGAAAGCGAGTGACGTCGTCCGGGGGCATGGTTTTGTGCATCGCCTCGTCAGGCACTTGGAGCACGATGACAACGTCTGGCTTGATGCCACGTTTGAGGAGGTCCCACACCTGGGCCTCGGAGGTGGGGTACCCGTCCAGGACCCAGCCCTGCGTGACGCAGTCGCTGTCATGAATCCGACTCGAGACGAGGTCCAGGAGAATGTCGTTGGGCAGCTCTTCGTTGCGGTCTAAGTGGCGCTGCACTTTCTTGCCGAGCGGGGTTGCTCGGCGGCCCGAGGCCCGCGCCAGTGCAATCGGTGAGAGCGCAACGACGCCGTACGTGGCCACAAGTCGGTCAGATTGCGTCGTCTTGCCGCAGCCTCGTGGGCCAAACACAACGATTTTGGGGCTTGTGCGACGCTTTAGGAGCTTCTGGAGACGCGACGGCGACTTTCGCAGCTGGGAGGCCGCCATGGGCTTGAGCAAGTCGTTGTACACGGTGAGATCAAACGAGTCGCGGAGAACGGCGAGATCCACTTCGTCGGTGGCGGCCAGGAGCCCAACGGCGCGGCCGTTGTCTTCAGCGACAAGGCACGCGCTGTGGTTGGTCTGCGACGCTATGAGCTCGGCCAAGAAATAGTCGCCAAATGCACTCTGCAGTGCCTAGCGGTAGTAGCGTGAGAACCGGCCGGATCTAAGGAGGTATATACCTGGTTTTGCGCCACCAGAATAGGCTCAAGGTCGTCGTGGTCTTCAATGTTGGCTTTCCGCACGTGGACGCTTGGCAAGTGCGTCTTGGCGTGCGACAAGAATACGTCGTAGCTCGCATACGTGTCGTCCTCGGTCTGCAGCGACGACGTCCGCGTCGCCTTGAAGAAGACGCCGAGGAAGACTTCTGGCGGCTCAACCGACGACGCAATGGGAAGGACGAGCCACTCGACGTGCGTGAGGAGCTGATAGACGGTCAGAAGCATGTCGCGGAAGACGTCATGGTCCATGGTCGCCTGGACAAAGTACGAAAGGAAGAGCGAGCGCTGCGCCTACGTTTGTCCAAATGAGCCAATTTGGCCAGGAAGCGAGGACGTACGGAGAGTGTCACGAGACCAGCGTCCGGCGTCTCCATGGCGTAGTGCTGCAAAACATAGTCGAGGTAGTCGACGTCTTCAGCCAGCTCGCTCGGCGCAATGTCGTTGACGACGAGGAAGGCAACGAGCGACCCATCCGGCGCTTCGGCCGTCAAAGCCAAGAAGGACGTCTCGATGAGTGCAGCGACGTGGCCTCGCCCAAAGATGATGCGCTGAAGCGTCTTGTCCGGGTACGCCAAGTTGGCGAGGTCGGTCGCGTCCGACGCCTGCGCCCGCCGGATCGTCAGCGCCATGGTAGCACGTGTCCTTTGGCGTCGACGGGATCTTCCAAAGTGTTTTAAACGCATGGACGATTGAATCATTCCTGTAGTTTCATACCTGTAGTTGGAAACAACGAGTGTTTTATACACCTGATGGGCATGAGAGAATCTGAAGGCAGGGCGATGACAAGGCATCTCTTGTGTCCAACCGCAGCATTTGCGTCCGCTTCAACTACGCCCAGGGCGTTTGGAAGAGCTCCCTTGGACCGTCTGGCCGTGACGTGGAGTACCAAGAATAGTCAGCATTGATTGGTTCTTTTCTACTTCTTTTTGGCCAATCCGTTTCGCCTTGATCGGGTCTCGCGTCGAATCCGCAGCTCTGAGATGCCAAAATCAAAGTCGGAAACGAACTCGCTTAAACTTGGCATGTCGATAGAAGATACTTTGGAGAGTTCAAAGCGCCTATTCACGTCATCGTCCGAGTTGTGTAGCCAAGTTAGCCCAAGTAATTAATTCATCGTCAAAGATTGCATGCCCATCAAAACATGTGTTTCGACTGGCGGTTTCACGTTGCGATAGCGACCGCAAGAAAATACTTTAGTTTGCATTCATATGGCTCAATTCGCGCTATATATGCGTCTCAGAAAAAACGTACCATGCATGGCCATCACACGCTTCGAGGAATGTGTCCTACCCCTCTACCCCAGTCGTCGGGTGTCAGGGGCATTTTGTCCACCGCTGAAAAGAGTTCCAACGAGTTCCAAAAGTGCTCTCATTGGCGCGCGTTGCATAGCCTACGCTGTGATTGGCCAATGCTAAGATTTGGCTGCGTGCAATTAGCCACACCCTCCTGCCCGAAATGACGTGCACCGCAAGTAGTCTTGGATTGGCCAAAATGGCGGCAGCACGAAGTGGGCGCCGAGGGATTGCCGCCGTGACGCTGGACGCGACGGGGACGCTCTTTCGTCCGCGGGAGGCCATTGGGACGACGTACCTCAAGCACGTTGTCGCCGTCTGTGGTCCGCCTCCAGCGCCCGCCTCCGGATCGTACGAGGCCGAAATCACCGCCGCGTTCAAGCACTCGTTCCGCGCCGAGCTTGCCGCGTCGCCCAACTTTGGCCGTGTCGATTCGGCGGCGACCGCGCAGCCGTGGTGGGGACGCGTCATCTTTGCGACGTTCCCGCCTGCGCTGCAGGCGCACGTCGGGTCTCGTAAGGACGAGCTCCTCGCGACGCTCTACTCGCACTATGCGACGCGTGCTGCCTGGGAGGTACTGCCGAGTAGGACTGCGCGGTGGACGCCTGACGATGGCCTAGGTCTTTGACGACGTGCATCCAGCGCTGCGCTCGCTCCAGGAGCGTGGTGTGCCCATGGGAGTCGTTTCCAACTTTGACGAGCGGCTCGAGTCCATTCTCGAGACGCTCGACCTGCGCGGCTACTTTGATTTTGTCTTGACGTCGTGGGATCACGGCGTTGCCAAGCCGGATGCCAGTATCTTTCATCGCGCAGCCGAGCTGCATGGCATCACCGATGTCGACGGCCGCGGGATGTTGCACATCGGCGACGATGCGACCAACGACCTCTTTGGCGCCCGAGCGGCGGGGTACTCGGGTGGCCTCGTCGACCGTAGCCGGCAAGTGACCTTGACGCAGCTGTTGCAGGAGCACTGAATGGAAATAATATTGAAAAATGGTTTCGAAAGACTCTATGGGACGCTGTTTACAGCTCGTCCTTCTCGGGCGTCTCGTCCTCGTCGGCAGCGTCCTCCGTCTTGGATTCATCGTCCTTCTTCTCGGCTTCCTCCTTGAGCTTGCGTTCGGCTTCCTCGGCCTCCTTGCGGTGGTCGTTGAGCTGCTGGATCTTGGCGAGGACCTTGGTCTCGTGGGCCTCGAGCTCCGACTTGCTGTCCGTGACAAGGATATCGTCAAAGAGCGTGCCCGACTTGACCTGCCAGAGCTCGAAGCCGATGGCGCCGCAGTCCTTGCAGACGTTGTACATGTGGTCGTCCTCGAACCAGTCGGGGTTGGCGATCACCGGGTGCACCCACTCGCCCTTGTACTCGGGGTTGTCGATCATCTTGGGCTTCCACTCGCCCTTGTAGGCCGGGTTTTCGATCATGGCCGGCTCCCAGTCACCATCGTCCTCATCATCCCAGTCTTCGGGCTTCTTAGCCGACGGGTCCGGGATCGTCTTGGGGATATCATCCCAGCCAGCGGGCTTCTTGTCAGCCGGGTCGGGGATCTTGGCAGCATCGACCCACGAAGCAGGCTTCGACTTGGACGGGTCCTGGATCTCCTTGGCGGGCTGGAAGGCCCAGTTTTCGGCGAGCGAGCCCGACATGATATCGACACCGTCAATCTTGACGTTGTACTTGTTGTCCTTGGTCAGCTCGAGCGTGTACAAGTGGGCGTCCTTGTCCTTCTCGGCCTTGATGTCCGTCTTATGCTCCAAGTTCTTGGCCTCGTCCTCGTTCGGGCGCTGGTAGTTGAAGATGAGATGCGTCTTGCGCGTCGTGCCGCAGACATCCGGGCCAAACATGATCGAGTACGGCGAGTCGCCCGAGAACGTCTCGAGGTCCGTGTTGGCCGGCAGGAGCTTGACGTACGCGCCGCCGCAGTCAATGTCCTGCTCAAACTTGACGAGGTACGAGAGAAAGAGGTCCTTGTCCTTGTTGTTGAAGACCTTGTCGAGCTTGGTCGACGCCGCGTAGAAGCGCGCGTCCGTCTTGGTCTGGATCGCCTTGTCCGCGTCGTCCACGAAGACGTCGCCGGGCGTGTGCGTGAACTCGGCGCGCTCGTGGGCGGGCTTAAAGGTCGACGGGACCCAGTTGTAGGACGTAAAGTCGTCTTGGAAGTAGACTTCGGCCGAGGCCATCGAGGCCGCGAGCGCCAGCGCCGAGAACGTCTTGACCATGGTGTTGGAAATTCGAGAATGACAAGTTGCGAATCCTGGGGGCCGCGCCGGATGCCCTCCGATCGTATCCGGCAAGACACGTGGCGCCAGCGCATACAAACGCCAAGTGCACGCGGGTGAACACGCGGCCGATCCGGATACGGAGCAGCGTGCGGCCGGCGAATCTTCCAGAAATGACCGTCATTTTATTCGATGGGCACGGCTTTATCTTGGATGTCGTATGTGAAAGCCATGGAGACTATTTAAATACGTTGTTGAAGTTGCTCCCAGCGCTGACGTGGCAGACCATGACAGTGGCGCAGCAACCGTGTGCACTTTGGGAAGCACGGACGACGACGACGCGCGATTGAGGGGAAGAGCAAGTAGCGAAGAGGGTGGTCCCCCGTGTTATGCACTGGCCCATTGCCATGACAAGTCCTGGCAACCTAGTGGCTCTAACGGTTAGAGCCACTGGGGTCTGCCACGTGGACCGCAAGCAGCCAAGGATGTAATGGTCCGTAATGACGTGGTCCCGTGGAGATGTACGCTTGCCCGCGCGTTGCATGGAACGTGCCGTCATTGCATGCAAGAGCGATCGACCTCTTTTTTGCAGCGCTCGCATGCGCAACGACACTGAGAGCCCATGAGCATTCGCCAGCGCTTCCTAACCAAGACAATGCCACTGGGTTAGGATCGTCCGAGGCGCGCTAGAGATGGCGTGATCAAGCACAACTACATCCTCCGCATGCAGCGCCGTTGTCGTCACCGCTTCCCTACGATACGTACTGTCCACTCAGAGGACCATTCAGGCACCGAAGCATTCTAGACCATCGGCCTGTCAAACTACGTGGCGTGCATTGGGACAGAAACTGAGAAGGCAGATCAAGTACAATGACGAGTGAGAAGACAGCGAGACGGATGGCAGTGTGTGTCTCGTCGGGCTGGGCGCTTGGCCTGCACATCTGGTACGCGAAACAAACCGCGGGAAGAGCTGCAGCTTCGTGGCAGTGCATTGCGCTCTCAGGAAGCTGACATGCTGGAGAATTGAGGCGCCATCAAAGCGCATGGGTGATCGCAGGCCGAAACGTAGCTCTCTACCAGGCCGCAAGACTACCCGTGTAAAGTGCCGAATGATGCCGTTGATGTCACCGCTGGAGGCGCGGGGATGTACCTGCGTCAACGTGTACTATTTAAATCTGTTTTGCTTTCTAGCCTTATCCACTGCCGACAGCTAATGCCGACAACTCCGTGCAGTGGTTGCTGTGTTTGCTGGCACTTCGGTAGCCGCTTGAAACGGACGATGCTATTCTTATGCACATTGCCCTCGTCGCCGCCATCTCGGGTCCATGGACTTTCTCGTCTGCGCCGGCACCGCCATGAGCGAGAAGACCAAGAAAGGCCCCGTGCGTCAGCAGGCCAAAGCGCCGCGTATCATTCGCCGGTCGCCGCGCCCCGAGGCCGCCACCGTCGACGTATAGCAGCCATTGCCATTTCTCCCTGAGTCGTCTCTTGTAGCACGCAACACTGGGCATGCGGCAGCTCTACACGCGAAAGACGGCGGCACCCGCCAAGCTCCATGCACGCCGCGTGTACCAGAGCCCTTGCGAGCGCGTCCAGTCGTCCAAGAACCACTACGACCTCGCCGTCTCGTCCGCGCCTGGTAATTCATATTGATTTATTGAGGTCGAACTTCGTGGGCTAAAGTAGAAGCCGTCGGCAACAACGAGAGCCCGCGCCGACATCTCGCAATCTCCAAGTCCGAGGGTCACGTGCGTAGAAATGCTGGAGGCAAGGCTTACCTCGGCTAGGTCACGACGACGACGATGAGCAACCAGCAGAGTACTAGTGCTGAAGACACGCTGTCGTCGCCCGTGTCGCTGGACCGGTAGCAATCCTCTCAAGTATTACATCTTGATGCCTGTTGTAGGGTCGCCTTTGAGAAATCGCTGCGGGGGTTCCAAGTGCACGTGGAGGAGCTGCCCGAGGCGGTGTACTTCCCGCCCATGTCCCCGATTGGGCCGTGGATGACGTCTTCGCCAATGCCGCCGAGTGCTGTCACCGAGCCCTTGTCACCCCGCAGCCGCCTTCTCGCCTTCTCCAACGAGAGCCAACCGATCCTGCGTTGTGCGTCGGCGACAGTCCGTAAGACTGGCAAACCGCGCCGCCCTCGGTCGTCCCAGCCCCGTCCAACGCCACACGACGATCTTCTCTGATTGTATAGCCTCAAACCGCAATACCAAGGCAATATTCCATGGCCTGCTCTAGTCCAATGTACTTGAGCAAAACTGCAGTGGTCTCTGGACGAGATTATGCAGGTCGCTGTGTAATACCGGCCGGATCGTCTTTCAGTGTCAATGAGTTGGATCGTCATTTCGTCGCAGCAGAATAGCAAACCCATCCGGCTTCGAGAGACTGTCCGAGTACATATGTATTGAGATTAAACGAACTAGATGCAGAAGAGAACAAGAATTAGGACACTTCGAACGCCGGGTCGTTGGCGTCTGCGCCGAGTTCGACCTTGATATCGGACGTGTCCAGCGGTGCCACGACCGCCGACGCCTTGTTGTTGCTGCGATCGACGACGTCCTTGTCGTGGGCGGGATGGAGCTTGGCGGTGGACGTCGCCAGAAGGAGGTCATCGACACCGTCGTCTTGGTTTCCGTCCGAGGAGGCGTCCCCAAACACTTGCTCAACGAGAGCCAGGACGACATGCGTCTCCCCGTCGAGGTTGCTGAGGTCGCCAATCTCGGCGTCGGCTTGCAGAAACTGCCAGATCCACGGACGCACCCACGTCGTTTGCGCCTGCACCTACCAACATTGATGAAAACATGTCGACGATCGGGATCGCACCTCGGCCGACTGTACGAAGGCTCCAACGTCGCTGTGCGTCGCGGCGTGCGTGAGCACGAAGTCCAGGAGGTAGTACGTGTAGTGGTGCAAGCTTCGGTGATGGCGAAAGTAATAAGCGACTTCGAGCGCTCCGTCGTCTGCTGAGAAGAGCGCTTCGATGCGGGCGCACCGGTGGCCGTCGTCGTCCACGGTAAGGAGACCGCCAAGGAGTTCAAACGTCGTTTCAAGCAGCGTCGACGTCTTGACACTGTCCAGCACCGACAGAAGCGCCTTGACGACGGCAACGGCGTCCGCGTCCGTAGCCACCGGCGCTTGGACGCAGCGCAGCACAAACGTCTCGAAGCCGAGGGCGAGCGCACAGCAGAGTCGCGTTGGATCGAGCAGCAGTTGCATGTCCTGATGCGGCAACACATCGTTGGTCGCTTCGAAGAGCTGCGGCAACAGCAATGTCTCAAGTGCGAGCGTGGCAACACGAGCCGACGACTGCTGGGCTGCCAACTGCTCGGGCACGGACGCGGACGTCGACTCGACGCCGTCGACCGCTAGTGATGCGCCAAAGTGATAGCCCATGTGGCACGTCGTGCGCAAGAGGCGGCGCACGATTGGCTCATTGATGGCGCGCGACAGGAAGTCACCGAGAACGCCGAGCGCCGACCCGAGCACCCCGTTGGCGAGCACGGTCGACGCCGTCGGTCCCGCGACCTCGATCGTGTCGCGCTGGTAAAAGACACTGACGCACTCGTCGAGAAAGTTGGCCAGTAGCGTCGTGTAGTCGTCGGTGCCCCCATGCGCCAAGACGCCAATGCAAGCGAGGGCGACATCAAAGAAACCGGTGCGGAGCCGCGTGTCGGTGCAGAGGTGCACCACGTCAAAGAGCCGCGTCCGGCGCTGGACGTATTCGCCGATCGCAATGGTGCCAGGTGCTGTCGGGAGCAACTCGGCGACCGCGTGCGCAAGAAACCACGCGGCAAAGTCGCTCGTCGGTGACAATAGTGGCGCGAGCAAGCCCGCCACGTCGATTTTTGGCGCGCTGCTCAACAGTGCAAAGTCAAAGAGGATCGACGCTGCGACAGTCGACGCTTGCGCATCATTGTCTCGCGTCTCTGCGTCCAGTGCCGCGTCGCGTACGTGCTGCAGGAGCCGGACGTAGCCGGCGTCAAACGCATGCAGCAGACTTGAAAACGCTTGGTTCTCGGCCTCCACTGTCGCGATCGCCTCGGCCACGTGGGTCGTCGGCGGCATCCGCGCAGCCACTGGAGGCGCGTCCACCTTGTCGTAGAAGAGCATGTAGGCGCTCCGGCGCTTGGACTGCGCCGTGGCCACGTACCGGCGGGTGCTCGAGTCCCAGCGCTCAACGACTTCGTCGCCGCCAAAACACTCGTCGCGCAAGTGCTGTACTTCAAAGGGGCGCACGGTCTGGTCGTTGCATTCGACCCACGAATCACGGGCATCGCGCAAGAACGAGTAGTAGTGGCCCGTGTCGCACGTGCCACTGTGAACGACGACACCGCGCAGGGCGTAGAGTGCCTCGCCCGCCTTGCCGTCGAGGCCGTCGGACGTGAACGGGTGCATGTCGAGGCTGTTGGGAAACTCGAGCAGGTCGTTGAGTTTGCATTTTTCCATCGTGTCAAAGTCAAACTCAAACCGCTTGAGGTGCACGACGAGCGTCTTGGGCAGCGACTGAAGGCAGACGCGCTTGAGCGCCTTCACTTTGGTCTGCGCGACTTCGCAAAAGTAGGCGTTATCGCCCTCGAGCGTCTCGCCTTGCACGTACGCTGCGAGGGAATCTGCGAGCGTCGCCTTGTGCTGCACGTCGACGCTCAGCGCAAAAAACGGCTCGTCGCGCGCCGAGACGTGCCCGTGCTCGGTGATGATCTGGTTGACGAGGCGCCCGCCAAAGCCGAGCGTCGCAGGCGTCACGAACGACTCGACGCGGTCGAGGAGGACGCCAAAGAACTCGTCGGCGTCCATCTGCACGCGCACGTCTGTTGGCTGACCGTCCTCGTCCTTGTGCGAGACGCAGAACGCTGTCGGGTCCACAAACTTGCGGACGGTGGACTCGAGCCCGACAAAGACGCGCTGGAGTTCGCGCACCTCGTCCGCTGCCGACGACGACGCGTCAACCGAAGTTGAAAGCAGTGCGTACCGGAACGACTGCAGGTGAAAGAGCTGCTGCACCAGCGCGTTCATGTAGCAGGTGCAGCCGGGATTGAAGAGGCCGGCGGACGACGACGACGACCGCGCTTCGTCGAGCGGTGCAAACGCCCACGGCCGTCCGACACGGTCGAGGACGTCGAGGGCTTCGGTCTGGAACGCCACGAGCAGTTGCAGCACCGTGGGCGCAATGTGCACGGGGTCCTGTGCGACAAAGCGCTCGATAATGTCGAGCGCAAGTCCGCGAGCGAGCGCCGAGTAGCATGATACACCCTCGCTTCCAAAGAGAAGCGAGTGCCACAGACTGGACACCATCTCGGGCGTCGGCATCACGACGTTGGCCGAGACGAGAGTTTGCAAGAGGCGCAGTAGCCCGACCAAGACGCTGTCGGGCGTCGAGCCAATGCGTTCCGAGCTCGTGTGCGCTAGCACATGATGCAGCAGCGTCGCTCCAAAGCTCGACGCGCTCAGCCACGTCGTGGTTGCCTGCAGCGGGAGTGCTGCTGCCAAGACGTCGGTCGCCAGTGCAAAGAACGCATCGTTGGCTTCGGACGCCGTGACGGTTAGGGCGATGGCGCTGACAGCTTGCGCGACATCGGGCAGCATACTTCGTCCGTGCTGGCGCAAGAAGCCCGTGAATGCGTCACAGATCCGGTCGCGGGTCCCGGCATGTGGACAGTGAAGACCAATCGCCCGAAGCCACGGCTGCCACTGGCCTTGGAAATGCGTGTGCACGTACGCCGGGTCGCGGGCGCCAAGCAAGCTGGCGATGTGCATGGCGGCGTCGACAACAGACGACATGTCGTCCGACATCATCTCGGCCAACGTATGACGCTCAATCGCGTCCAAAAGCAAATGTACGATATGGCCTTCGTCCACGGCGCGGTGAAACGCTGGGAGGCTCTCGGCCACGAGCTGCTGGTCAAAACGCGACGGCAGCGCAGATGGCAGCGCGTCGAGCCCCCAGATGTACCCAATCACACGCAGCGCGGCCGCTAAACACGTCATTTCCAACGTCGACGACGCTGCTGGTGGCCACGCGACGATCGCGTTGTAGAGGTGGAGCGCGCCACCGAGACGCACGAAGCGTTCGCGCCATTGCCGACGCGCCGCATGCTCGCCCGAGACATCGTCCGCCGGCAGCAAGAGTGCCTCGACGATGCGAAGCCCGTAGAGCAGGCGGTGCGCGTTCGATGTGTCGAGCAAGCTTTCCCAGTGCACGGCACTCGACACTGAGTCCCGAAGAAGGACCATGCGGTCCAAAAGCTTGCGATTCGTCGGAAGCGACGAAAGAAGGTCCCACGCTCCGTCGCTTGTTGGCGACGGCCACTCTAAGACGTGAAAGAGCGCGTCAAAGTACTCGTCCGTGTTGACCACGGCTTCGTCAATCGTTGACGGCGCCACTTCCTTCACCGTCACTTGGATCGGTGGGGGCAGCGGATAGACACGTGCGACCCGCTGCAATGACGCGGTCCGAGACTCGTACGAGTCGTCGTTTGGCGCATCGTAGTCGTTGAGCGCTTGCAAAACCGACTGCTTGAGAATGCGCGCGCCATCGATAGGCTTGGCGGGCGACGGGAGCACTGAGAGCTCCGGGGGCGCCGCCTTGGCTGGCGCACACGCTGTCAAGAAGCGGTGCAAGAGCGCGACACAGCGAGTCACAAGGTGCGCGTCATCGCTACTCGAGGTGTTTGCGGTGACTTGGGCCTTGGCTCGGAGCAGGTGCCCCATGCACGTGTCAGTGAACTCGCGCTTGCACACGTCGGCGTCCACGTGAACGTCCAAGTGGTATGCGATGAGGTGGTCCATGCACGTCTCAACGACGTCGCCATTCGCATAAAGCGCCAAGTGCCACAGCTCCGAGAGCCCCACGAGGTTGCCAAGAGGCAGCACAACAGCGCAGCGCACGTCATCGTCGTCACTTGGCAGTGGTTGCAATGACTGCAGCGCCAAGTTGACCGACTGGAAGAGCAGGTGGAAGCACTCGAGCGCATCGACAGAGATGAGCCGGCTCGGCAGCGATCCAAACTGGCGTAAGATGTGCACGCGCAGATCATGGTCGAGCAACGTCATCGTATCGTCTGGTAGGAGCTGCTCGCAGAGCTGAAACCACTGGAAGCAAAGATCGGCTTCGGACGACGTTGCAGCCGACGCAATGCAGTTGTGCCAGAGCGTATTGAGCTGCGACGGGCTCAATCGCGTGCCGTGGTTGGCCAACAGCACGAGCAGCCAGCTCCCGTGCAGCGCCAAGAGCCGGCATTTGTATGGCTCTAGCGCGTCGCCGCTCTCGGCGTGGCCGCGGGCTTTGAACTCGGAGAGCTCGTTCAAGAGACCTGTCAAGATCGTCGGCTGGAGGTCCGCGACCTGCTGCTCGGTCAGCCGGGGGCGGTAGCCTTCCGAGAAGAGCCGGCTAAAGTGCGACAGAAAGTGCAGAGCTGCGCGCACTGCTTCTGGCGTTTGGCTCGAGCGGACTTGGATGAGGTGGAAGCAGTCGACAAAGATATCGCCCATGGCCTCGCCAAGGAGCGCGTGCAGCGTTTGAATACACATGTCCATAGTCGCAGCGCAGCGGTCAGTCTTGAGCGCCTCCCAGAGGTGCGTGGCCACTGTTTGATGGTTTTCGCTGCCGTGGTCGTTGCGGGCGGCCGCGCGGAGCACACTGAGCGCTGCGCTGTCAATGGTCGGCAGCGACGCGACGCGGCCGAGGACGTGCGCGACGCTCTGCACGTTCGAGACTATGTCGACGAGCAGCTCGAGTGTCGTCGTGAGAAGCGCTTCGTGGCGGCCCTTGCTTGCGTCCATGGCCACGCTCCAGACAAGGTCGAGGTGCTCCGCCGCGACGCCGCTCTCGCCGGCGTAGATGTCAAAGATGGGCGCTGCTCGCTTGAGCATCTCGGCATGCATTGTGTCCCCGAAGAGATGCCCCAGTACCTGCACGGAAGTAGTCAAGAGATGTACTACACAGGTCAATTGTACCTGGTGCGCGTCAAGCCAAGCCACCGCCATCGGTGTCGGTAGCTGCTTGAGCGTCTCCGTCATGTCGGCCAAGCCATGCAACCGCTTCTCGAGCGAGCGACACTCGAGCGCCTTGTGCGCAATCTGCGATCCAAGTGAGTACTTTTCTGCACAAAAAGGGCGACCTCGAGGGTGAGGGTGTGGAGGAAGTGGTCGTGCGTCGGGCTCGTCAGTATCTCAAAGAAGTGCACAACATCGCCGAGCTCGCTGCGCTGGACGGACGAGAGGTCCGGTGGCAACGCCGCCACATGCGCGACCATCGCGTCGCTCAATGCCGGAAGTAGCTCGAGCATGAAGGCTGTCGCAAGCTGGTCCTTGACAACCGCAATGCACTTGATCGCGCACACGACAGCGTTGAGCTCAAACGGCTGGCTAATACGGTACTCGAGATCCTCGTTCTCGTCGTCTGTGGCCGGGTCACCCGCCCGCTGCAGCGGCAGCGACGGGTCGAGGTTGCACAAAATGGCGTCGAAGCCGCCCGCTTCGATAAACGCATCAATGTTCTTGGCCAGCAGCTCCGAGGTTGCGCCATCGCTCTCTACGGCATTCGACATCGGAACACAGCCTTTCCAGTCCCAACGTACGAGCAGCGTCGTTGAGGTAGAAGGCGCGGTTGTCATCCATAAGGCGGTAGAGCGTCGGAAGCATGCTGGGGTCGCCCACGCGCAGCCGCGACACGACGCACTCCAGTGTAAACTAGTCACGATGAGTATGTTCTCAAGAGCTCGGGTGAGTAGTACCTGGAAAAAGTCGTTTACGGTCGCCGCGACCGTGTCGGCAAACGGCCGCGCCAGAAGGACCTGCACGTAGTGCTCCATGTAGTCGGTCACAAGGCGCTCCTCAGCGTCCGCTAGCACACAATGAGTTGCAGGTAGCTTGCTGGATGCAGTCGTACCCGGAAGCGCGCCGGACGTGACGACCTCGACGATGGCCGAGAGCGCATACGTCGGGTTGGCGTCCTTCTGGACGTCGTCGCAGAGACTGGTGCATGTACCATCCAGGTCATCGAGGATCGCGCGGCAAAGGCGTAGGACCCGGTCCGAGTCCTCCATGAGGGTTGCTGCCTCTTTGCCGAGTAAGCTTCCGTTTCACTGCAAGACGACGCGCTCGTTCAAGTGCGCCTTCCGGTCGCATACAAGATACCATATAGTTTCATTAAGTGCGCCATCCGTTTTGGCCAAATTGCGGTTTCTGCTGTGGCATACAAAGAGCAAGTGTTGCATGACCACCGGTTTCGTGGTGGTTTTGGATTCCCAAGGGTCACTTGCAGCAGCATGGACGCAGCGACGCTCGCCGACCTCCGCGCCAAGTACGCGACCAGCGCGCCGGCAACCACGCCGTCGCCGCACGTCTATGGCGGCGCGTCCACGCTGCGCATCTGCGACCGCTGCCACGGCCAGCGCATCGAGCGAGTCCCGTACAACTACATGGTGCTCGAACAGACGTGCTCGGGTAGGGCAAATCGCTGGTATGCGTGGCTCATGGCTCTGTTGCGTAGCGTGCGATGGCGAAGGCGTGCTAGCGGTGCAGCGAGGCCGACTGTAGTAGACGAGCCATTATAAGCTGGGCAGCTTCGGCCTGTCCAAAAATCGTGTTATGTGATACGGCTGGAGCCGTCAGATTTCGATTTCCTGTGCTATCACAGCCCTCCATCGCACGATGATGGCCACCGTGTCCCATGGTATTCCTCCGCTCGCAGAGTTATCGCCGGTGGGCGACGACTTGTTGCCTGCCTTTGACTTCGACACGATCGACAACAGTGAGAGTGGAAAGGAACTCCACGACGATGAGATGGGCTTTCTCTGCGACGTGCTCTTCTTCAACGAGCCGACCACCGCCCCCGTTGACGACTTTTTCGACTGCCCTCTGGACTTGCTTCTCGCGCCCGACGCCACGGACGACGAGGCGAAGAAGATCTGCGCCATTGACGGGTGCCACAAGCGCGTTCGGTCGCGCGGCCTGTGCAAGGCGCATGGCGGTGGTCGCCGCTGCTCCGTGGCTGGTAAGACCTCGTTGTGACTTAACAGGACCAAATTCTCACTCAAGCAATAGGCTGCATCAAGAGCAGTCAAGGCCGGGGACTCTGCATTCGCCACGGCGGCGGCCGGCGCTGCCAAGAGCCCGGCTGCTCTCGCGGCGCCCAATCGAGCGGTCGATGCAAAAACCACGGCGGCGGTATCCGCTGCCGGGCCCCCGGGTGCACCAAGAGCAGCCAAGGCGCAGGGTACGTCCTTCTAAATACGACCACTCGGAGACGCATACTACGGTAGGTTTTGCCGCACGCATGGTGGCGGCAAGCTCTGCAAGCACCCAGGTTGCAAGAAGGGCAGCCAGCGCAAAGGCTACTGTGCTACCCACTGCCACACCCATGCGATCAGTCGCACGTAACCACGTCATAGCATGATGTACAACAACGATATTGAACTTCGATGCGTCGTGGGAGCATGATGAGGTCCCAGCTGCCTCAAGACTCAGAGTGGCAGAAAGGACAATATTATGCGGTTGGCCCCTCGGCCTGCCACGTCAGACAAATCGATTCCTAGAGGACCTCGTAAACTGTATCGGTCTAGCGCTTGCCTCGGCGTATCCGACGCGATGAGCCGCCGGCAGATCCGATTCGAAGAATACGCATCGTCCGGACCCGTCGTCGAGCGCGTCGCCTGCAACATGGAGACGAAGCCAGCGCGGGCACCCAAGTTTGCTGCTTCTGCGTCGCACGTCGCCAACGACGCGTACCTGGCGGCCTTTGACGCCGACCCGCGAAAGCCGTCGTCCAAGCAGCCGCAGCCAGCAAGCATGAGTACCTCGGGAGATGGCAACACTGCTTTGCCCAAGATTGCTGGCGCCGTGCGCGCACATGTGCCCGCGGCCGAACCAACGACCCGTTCATCGTCGTGGACGCGAGGTCCGAGTGATGCTGCTGGCTCGGCGCAAGCCGTATCCAGCCAACCGCTGACTTGCATGAGCTTGTCGCCGGATGGCTCGGAAGTGGTTGTCGGCAGCTGCGACCACGCGCTCTACACGATCCCGCTGCGCAGCTCGGGGTCCAAGAAGGCTCGGGGACTCACGTTGTACACCACGACGTGCGGCCACAAGGAATGGGTCACGGCCGTCGCGCACCTTGCCGGTACTGACAGCATTACGAAGTGCCAAAGCGCATGCACATGTAGATGGCCGCGTCGTCTCTGCGGGCATGGACAGCAAACTCTGCCTCTGGGAGAACGGTGCCGTCGCACGCTGCGAAGACCTGGTGGGCTCTCGAGCCCCACCGTCTCTCGACTATTCAATGTATTAGATGGGCCACGCCGGGTCCATCTCGCTGATCCAGACGATTGGCAACGACTGGATCGTGAGCGCGAGCTACGACAAGACGTATCGGCTGTGGGACGCGACGCCCGGGCGCCGCGCCGGCAAGAATGGCCGAGAGAGACATGCGTTGCGCGGCCATGACGCCCCGATTCTCGACTGCAGCCTCTGGGGCTCACGGCTCATTGGCGGCGATCGCAGCGGCTCGGTGCTCGTTTTCGACGTCGCTGCCTGTACGAGTTGATCGTCAGTCGTCCTCTTGACGTAGCACGACGCTTAGATACTCTCGAGAAGAAGTGGAACGCGGCGCACGACGGCCACTGCACGAGTGTTTTGGGCTCGGCGTTTGCACCCGACATTGCGTACAGTGGCGGCCAAGACGGCGTTGTGCAGCGCTGGGACCTGCGCACAAAGGCGAGCACGCTTGCGCTGCCCGTGCATAGCGGCAAGACAGGCAAAGGCGCCGTACGCTCTCATAAATCATCGGCCAAAAGCTCAGAGACGACTTTAGGTGAGTTTTCTACGCGAGCAGCCGTCAAACGAACACGTTCTTGTCACGGGGGGTGCTGACGGCAAGGTCCACGTCCTCGACACGCGCCGCAACACGCTCCGGTCGACGTTTGACAGCCACCAGACGTTCATCTATTCGCTGCATGTGGCCCACGACCTGTGCTTTAGCGGCAGCGGAGACGGGATGCTGCTCGTGCACAACTTGGCCACCGACGCCTTGTGCTACGGCCTCGGCGCCAACCAAGCGGCGGTGCGGGCCATTGCCACGACGCCCGCTGAGCTCGTTGCGGCCGGTGACGATGGCGGCGTCCTTGTCTATAACTTTGCGTAAAGTTATGAATCTACTGGATGGTGTCGATGTGGCGACCTTCTGTGCTCTCGTGAAGGACAAAGCTCTGTGTACCGGACGGGGGGCATCCGAAGGTACATCAGGCCCAGGCACCAACTGGGATCATCTGCGTAAGGACTGCGTGTGATACCGAGGCCAGTTCGTGCTTGACAAGATGCCATTTGTTGGAGTGCTCACCAGTGGTATTAGCAATAAGTTAGTGTTCTATTACGAAATCGACGAGTTTGTACTTAGCCCAAGGTGCGGGCAATGTTGAGGACGCTCGCAAAGAGCGCGCTGGCCGCGAGCCCTTGCGTCGCATCCGACGCGAACGACGAGCCCGAGAGGAAGAGTGGGAACGCTGCGTGGCGGTCCGTGTGCAGCGCGAGGCCGACCTGGGCGCCGACCAAATGAGCAAATGGCGCCGACGACGACTGCAGTTGAATCTCAATGCGACCGTTTGCAAGCGTCGTCGTTGTGCGGGCGGCCTTGGGCAGCTGCGCAAACGCCGGCGCACAGCTTGCGACGTGCGCAATCACTTGGTCGATCGTCGTCACCGCCGTCGGGCACGGCGAGACCGGCGACCCGTTGATGGCGTCGGCGGCGTTCAGGTTGAGGCCGAGCTCGCGCGCGAGGAGCACCATCTTCTTGGCCGACGCGACGCCCGTGAGGTCGTCGAGCACCTCGGCAGGCGCCATTGACGAAAACTGCGCCAAGAGCACGCTGCGAAGCGCCGCCTCGATGGGCGTCGCCGGCGCTTGGTCGAGCTCGAGGAGCAGCGCGTTCATGACCGAGCTCCACGAAGCCTCAATCTTGGTGATGCTGTCGCCGGTCTGGAGAAGGTTCTGCAGCGTCGAGAGAACGGGCACACCCATCCCGAGGCAGGCCTCCGTGTCCAAGACGACTTGGTTCTGGGAGGCCGTCTTGCGCAGCGAGAGGGATGCATCGTTGGCGACGTGGAGGTTGTTGCTCACAATGAAGCAGTCGGCGGCCAGCCAGCTCGGGTACTGCTTGATCGTCGCGTCGTCGCCCGAGACGTCCAAAACGAGCGCATACGGAATGTGGTCCGTATGCACGTGTTGAATGAAGCGGGCCATGTTAAGCGGCTCGGACGTGGCCGACGCGAGCGACGCTGCGTTGAAGCCCGTCGGGTGCAGCTGCATGTGGTCGCGGTCGGCCACCGCGCGAATGCGCAAGTCGACCTTGTACTTGCGCGCTAGCATGGCGGCTTGCGAGAGGATCTGCGTCTGGAGCGCGGCGCCGACCTTGGAATGCGCGCCAAGAATACCGATCGAAATGGTTTGGTCCGCAAGGAAGAACGCCGAGTGCACCGCCCGAAGCGCGGCGCCAGAGTCCTCGTAGCGCACGACCGCCGAGATGTTGCGCTCCGACGAGCCCTGGGAGATGCCGAGGATGTTGATGTCGGCGCGGCCAAGAGCGCCAAAGAAGCGCCCGCAGACACCGGGGGTTTGCGACATGTTGTCGCCGACGGCCGCGATGATGCTTACGGGCGACTCGAACGTCACGGCGTCAATGAGCCCGTGGTGGAGCTCCTTGAAAAAGGCGGCTTCGATCGCGTCCTTGGCGTCAACCGCGTTGGCCGCGGGGATCGCAAAGCAGATCGAGTGCTCGGAACTGGCCTGCGCAATGAGCACGACGTTGACCTTGATGCGGTCGAGGGCCGAGAAGAGGCGGGACGCGACGCCGTGGACGCCCACCATGCCAGTGCCCTCGAGGTTGAACATGGCGAGGTGATCGATCGTCGAGAAGCCGCTCACAATGTGCTTGGCGGTCGTCGTCGGCGACGTCGGCCGCCGATGAAAAATGCGCGTGCCCGGGTGCGTCGGGTCGAACGTATTCCGGATAAAGATCGGGATGCTCTCGGCGACGGCCGGGGCCATCGTCTTGGGGTGGATGACCTTGGCACCAAAGTAGGCCAGCTCCATGGCCTCCTGGTACGAGATCTGCGGGAGGATCTTGGCTTCCGGTACGCGGCGCGGGTCGGCGCTGTACACGCCGCTGACGTCGGTCCAGATGGTAATGGACGCGGCCTTGAGCACGCGGCCGAAAATGGATGCTGAGAAGTCGCTGCCGTCCCGCTTGAGCGTCGTGACAACGCCGTCGGTCGTCGAACAGATGAAGCCCGTGATGCAGAGGTGCGTCGCGTTGTGGAGTGCATCCATCTTGGCCCGGAGCTTCGCGGCCGTGAGTTCGTACAAGACGACTGGCCCATGATTCGGATCAATCTCAACCGTAAGCACCTCGCGCGAGTCGATGAATGCGAACCGCTCCGTCTTGCCCGCAAGCTCCAAGTTGTGGTTGAGCACGGCCGTCATGATGCGCGCCGACCAGAGTTCGCCGTGGCCGCTCACGAGTTCCGTCACGTTTTCGTTGTACGAGCGCATGATCGAGATAGCGTGCAGCAGTTCTTGAAGCGTCGCCAAGTCCTGCCGTATCTGGACAAGGATCGCGTCACCGACGTCTGGCGGTAGTAGCTCTGCGACGGCGGCCGCGTGCTTGGCCTCGATCTGGTCCACGATCGCTTGGATCGTTGACGTCTGCTTCGTCTTGGCGAGCTCGACGAGCGAGATGAGGAGGTCAGTGACCTTGGGCTTGCCACCCATGGCCGACACGACGACCGCGATCTTGTCGCTCTCGACACCAGCGACGATGGCCTGGACGGCCTTCATGGCCTCGGCGTTCCCGACGGACGTTCCGCCAAACTTGTGTACGACGAAGGAAGGCATGGAGATGGTAGTGGGCGGTCGAGGAAGCTCGAGGTAACTTGTGGAATGGGCGGGCGGGACAACGAGGCTGGCTGCTTGCGCGATCTTGGCCGGCCGCCACAAGAAGTTCTCGTGGTCGCCAGCTGGAAAGATCCGTTATCCTGGTGAATGGTCCGGATCGCAACCACTTGACATTTGTATGCTCCACCACCTGGTGCATTCCCTCAGAAAGCAACCGCCAATGTGGGACAGCCGCACGAATCAGAGACATTCCCTCACTCTGTCAGCAGAGACGAAGCGGATGCGCGTCACAGAACCAGCGCGGAACGTTAATTACACAATACCGTGTGCTCATTGGCTCCTGCGACTGGACTTCAGTGGCCGCGTGGTTTTTTGCACCCGGTAGGGGGGCCTACGTTTTGGAAGTGCCACCGTTGAGTCGACGCTGGTGGTGGCACCACAACGACGATTCTAGAGGCTGCGCGTCACACAATGGGCTACTTCAAGGCCCGGCAACGCTCCTCCTTCCCGCAATAAGAAATGAGAGCATTCATCTCGGTGGTGATGAGAATTTCTGGCAATGTAGCAAGAAAGAGCCTTGAAGGGTTGAACCCATATGAGCGCCACCGGTGACACCCACGATGAGTTGACGGTACCGGCGAACCGGCGATGGCGCGCCAACCAGCCTTGAAAGCGCGGTGCTGATGTTGAAGTGGGATTTGCAATCGGTCGCCGTCTGTTCCTTATTTCATGGGTCCCCCCACAGGACTGTTTTGGTAGTCCGCCCCCCACCCCTATGATATTCCGTGCAAGCTGCTTGGCTTCGGCGAGGGTCGAATCAAACGAGCAGCCACGATGAGCAGCGAAGTCCCCGTGATGTCGATGACGCCGACCCAGTTCGAGATGGGAGTGCGTCGCCGCTGCCAGCGACCACGATGGTCTAAGACATGTGCTTGTAGGAGTGCACGAAGCTGCAGCGCGAGTCGCTCAAGTGCATCGAAGGTAGGCAGCCATGGTACCGCCGTGGGCACTCACCTGCTCTCGCACAGAAAACTACCGCCAGCGTGACAAGTGCAACGAGTTCTTTGAGCGCTATCGCGAATGCAAGAAGGTTGCAATTCAGCCACCTCGCTGCGACTGACACACTTCTATAGGGTCGCCACGCAGCCATCATTGCGGCTCGGCGAGCGGGCAAGCTGGACTAGACACGAGTTACAAACTCGCATGGAGGCAGCTGTCTGCGACTGCGGCTGTCGCGACCCCACAGCGACTTGTATTACATGGACAATGTAGCAATATCATGCATCTTCGCGATTACCGCGCTTGGCTTTGAGTTCGTCCAGAAACGACATCTTGGGTGGCGTCGGTGCTGCAGTGGGCGCGCTCGGCGGCGCTGGCTCTGCTTTGTTGGCGCGGCGCTTGAGCTCGTCCAGAAAACTGGGACGTGCGCCCTCTTCGGATGTCGATGGCATTACACTCAGCGGCTTCGTCTTGAGCAGCGGCGATGCACACGGCGAACGCGAGTTGCGCCGGCGCTGAATCTCAGCGAGGTTGTTGGGCTTGGCGATATCATCCAGCAGCGTAGGCTCGATGATGGAAGGCCGCTTCTTCAGCAGCGACGGTGTCGTGGCCAGGCCCAGCATCTTGAGAAGCGCGTGAGACTTTGGCTGGGAGGCTGCCTTGGCCGGGACGTTTTCGACCGACTCGGCACTGCTAACCTCGTCGTCGGGCAGCGTTCGAGTGCTTTCGCAGCGAACAAGGTCCTGCGTCGACTTGCGCGCGCAAAAGTCCGTCTGTAGAAAGTGCAAAACGTTGGGCGACGCCTTGACTGCGCTCACAGTGCGTATCTGACTCATGACGTCGTGGACAGCCTTGACGCACGTTTCCTTGGGCGTGCGCTTGGGCACCACTACCTCCTTTGGTACAGTCATCGCCGCCTCCTAGGATATATGCAATTCGTTTGCCGTCATGCGGAACGTTCAGTACCTCGGTTTTGGGAAACTCCTTGGACCGCTCAGCAATCGCATTGGTCAGCTCGTGCTTGCGCGCAAGGGCTTCTTCTTCAGCCGACAGCTTCTTGTGCATGGCGCGTTCCTTGGGCTTGATGTCGGGCGTCGACGAGAAGGGGCCGCGGATCACACCGTGACGGATCTCGGGCGGCAAAAGGCGAATGGCAGCGATCTCGTCGAGGTACTGCTCGTGGGTCGGACACGCAACTTGGATTGCGCGCTCTGCGATGACGATTTCGCTCTTGAGCCCATCGCGCTCCTTGCAGAGCGATTGAAAGATCTTTTTGGCTTCGTCGCTAGAGATTTGCGTCACGACACGTCACGTTCCTGATGCTTACCGAAGGCGGATGAGCGTCGGCTTGCCAAAACTCTTGATGAGGTCGTCCGAGCGGCAATCTGTGTGTTGCAATCAACATCTTTAGCGCTATGCGGTTGTACCGTCCGAGACGGCGTGGTATTCTGTCTTGGCGAGCGGGATCTCGTGCTCGACGAGCGCTTGCAAGCGTGCTTTCTTCTGCGCGAGTCGCTTGGCTTGAGTCTCAAACTTGGCGAGACGCTGCTTGATCTCGTCTTCTGTCGGGTACCGGTACACTGGATTCAAGAGCTGCTTGTCGCTCAGTGGCTTGAGTTTGACCTCAGCCCGCGCCCCTGCCGTCGCGTTGGGACCAAGTTTCGCATGCGCTGCACGCACCTTTGACGGGATCCCAGCCCGCCTTGACGGTCTCGCCGTGGTACTGCTGCACCAGGACCTTGAGATGGGCAATGAAGCCCGCGCGCCACTCGCCCTTTCGACCTTCCTTGTCAAACTCAAAGGCGTCGGGCAGCGCGAGGTAAATCGCTCGCATCTCAGTGATGTCGTACCTGCGCCGACCATAGTCACCTTTAGCATTTGTGAATCGCACGTACATTTCGAGGTTGGTAAAGCACTGGGCCGTGTCGCCCGAGATAAAATTGTCCCGCGCCTTGTCGACCTCGTGCGTGACGACCCACTGCAAGAGTCTAGAAAGGCCAGCAATGTGAGTTGAATGGATACGAATGACGTTCGCTGACTTGTTTTGTTTGAGGTAGTTGACCAAATCACGTGTGTAGAGCACGCCTGCCTGCTTGGCGGCATCCAGGAGCTGATCAACCGACATAGCCGCGATCGAGTCCGGAATGAGCGAGCACAGCCGCTCCAAGCACACTTGATTGTCGGCCAAGTGGTTGGCGCGCCATGCGTCTTCAAGCCGCTTCATTTCCCCGGGGTATTCTACAGCCAGCTCCAGCCCAAACACCATCGCAAGAGAACGCACCCTTGGCGTTTTCGCGACGCGAGCGCCAGATTTCCATTTGCTTGAGCGTCGCGTTGATCTGGCGATCCTTGATCTGGAGCTCCCTGGCGCGGTAGCCCTTGAAGCTTTGGCAGAGCACGGTCGCGCGCTCCACGAGTGCGAGCAGCGTCTCGCCAGTGGCTTGGGTCACTTCATGGGCTGTCTGTTCCCACTTTAAAACAAGGATCTGCTGTTCAACGAGGTACCTTGAGTAGCTCCCGTGCAGCGGCAAGAAGGTCCTCCGTCGAGAATTTGGCAATCAAGGTCTGGAGCTTCTCGAGCATCGTTTCCGTGGCTGCAACGACGAGGGTTTGGGCGACGTTTTGCTTTAAGACGGCTTGTTTGAACTGCTCTTGGATGCTCAGCACGTCTTTCCGAAGGCAGTCCATGGACTGCACTTGCAGAATCGCCATGCTGCCTCGGCGCGTCGGTGACGCTGTCAGAGGCGCCTTGATGTCAGCAACAAGTTTAGGGTCCTCGACCTTGACCTTGAGTTCCCGAAGACTCTCTTGGGCCTTCGAGAGCTGCGCCTTGAAGGTTGCAATGTCCTTGGTGTGCTCGTGCAGCCCCCGCAGCAAGGTGTCGAGCTCTACATGCTAAAGTATAAACACCATTTCATGTTTGGAAGTACCTTTGGTGTACTCTTCCGTCGGTGAGTTGTGCAAGAGCGATTGTTCGTACAGGAGACGGTCATAGTCGGCCTCGGCCGTCGTAAGATGTCGATCTGCGACATCGAATCCATTGGTCTTGGACGACTCGAGCTTCCACTACGGTTGTGCTGGAATCATGGAGCCGCGTCATTGAGCTACCTGAAGATCTTCGTCGCTCAAGCCCAGCGTCGACTTGAGCAAATCGATCTGTTCCATGAGCTGCCGGACTTTTGAATCATCTGCCTCAGCCGAGTTGAGAGCAACGGTCTTGGGCGTTGGAAACAAAAAGGGTCCGTCACCGTTATCGTCGAATGCAACTTCTTGCCCACGACCCTAATCCTCTGTTATGAAGCGATTCGACGAGTACACTAGTACCGGTGAGGTCCGGGGGCTATGTCGTGGCGTGCGCAGTGGGGCAACCCCTGGTCGCTTCTCACCACTGTGCTTGTCAAGGGCGGGCGCACACTTGCGTGAAACGTGCACGAGAACGTTGCCTTCGCTCGTGAGACTGCGGCGGATCTTGCGGATCGTGGAGCGCACCGACGGCTCCTTCCCACGCCCTTGGGACATTGTCACTTTCGTCGTCGTGGACTCGCGGCGACCGCTTTGCGCGGATGCCGGACGACTGCCGCTGCGCGCCGGCGGACTCCGCGGTGACTCCTTCGTTTTAGTAAGGCCAAACATCTTGTGCACGTGATCTTTGTGGTCGAGGAGGTGCACGCCTTGCATGTAGAGGCGTGCATACGGTGATTCTTTCTCCTTACGTGGTAGCTTGACGTGCTCTCTCGGGAGCACAAAGGTGGTTTTGGACGGCGATCGGGCAGGATCGCCAATAAGATACGACGGCCGACGCCCGGGCGCTGATGCCGTGCTCTCTGTCTGGCTCGGTCGGCCAAACAGCTTGGCTGTCAGCGACATACCGACTGTCCGTTTCCGCCTGTCTAAATCCGGTTACGCCTGTGATTGGTCAAAATCCAGGAAGATTTTTAGCCAGTCGTTGCACAGAAGAGCTCATCGAGCTTCATTTGCTCATGCTCCTCCGACGCCTGCAACGCGGCTTGGCCGGCGCGGGCTTTGCCACCAAGGCTATCGACGTGCTCACGCCCAAGATGCGGCGCAAGATCGAATCGTTCGTCGAGATCGTTCGTGTCAAGCGCGTAGAGCAGGCCGCGACCTCGGACTACACAATCGTGCCCACGACAATGCGGATTCCGAACGCCGAGCCGTGGCCCGCCGACTTCCGCGGCAAGTTCTTTCCATTCACGGACATTCGCAAGTTGCACCGTGACGGCCTTCTTCCGCCCGACGTCGAGGCAGAGCTCGAGGCCATGCGGTTTGTCTGGGACGTGAACACGCTTAAATGGCAGCTCAAGATCGACGCGCTCACGGTGTACAAGTCGATCTATGGCGATACGTACGTGCCGTACAAGTTTGTGTGTCCCGCCGAGGACCCGTGGCCCCGCGACACGTGGCACGCGCCGCTCGGGAAGCAAGTCTCTAACATCCTCAAGGACTTCCACAGCTCGAGACGCGTTAGGACCCAAGTGTTCAACAACCCGACTCCACGCCAAGCGCAGCTCATTGCACTCGACTTTGATTGGGAGGGCTCGGGCTACAGCTAAATGCACCATTTCTTGAACGACAGTGTGGTGATGCGATTTTTGCTCTTTGCGTCCAATGTTGCGTTGCATGTCTGAGAACGCCAGAGGCAGTAGCATCTCGCACACGGACGTGGCAGCGCGAGGAAAGACAGTTCACGCAACCATTACTGCAAGTAGCCACAGCCCGTTTTGGCCGTGAGGTCACTTCGTTTGACCGTCTACATGTACTGTCTGACGTGGCTAAACTTGTGAGCCAGCGACAACGACGACGCGTCAGGGTGCAATGTATCGAATCAATCAAGCAGCGTTTAACCTGTTGAAAAGTCTTCTAGTCGTCCTTTGCCGTCGCATCCAAAACAGCACTTGGAATGCACTCTTCCAGGGCCGTCTCCACAAGGTCCCGGAGCTCGGGTTGCTCGCCCTTGACGCTCCAGCGATTCGCAATATGACGCTTCATGGCCTTGCCGCCAAACTCGCCCCTATCAAAATATTAGATAAAGTATCCACTCGATCCATTGAAGCGTACAAGAAGAGGTTGAGAATCGGCTTGAGGAGCGTCGACGTCGGCATGGCGTACTCGCCGACTTCGCGCCGTTTTTTGCCCCACTTGGCCTGCAGGTCTTCGGCGTAGTCGAGGTACGTGGCGATGATTTCGCGCCGGGAAAAGCCCGGATTCTCGCAGTCAAAGAGCAGGCGATCCGCGTCGCGAAAGTTCCACGGGTTGTTGTACGCCGCGCGGCCAATCATGACGCCGTCCAGGTTGAGGTCCTTGTCCTACATCGTAGTATGACGCGTCGAGCATCATATCGTGTGCGCGTACCTGGAGCAGTGCGTGGGCGTCTTGGATTGAACCGACGCCGCCGTTGAGCATGATGTTGAGATGCGGAAAATCCGATTTCAGCCGGCCAACGTAGCTGTAGTTGAGCGCGGGGATCGTTCGGTTCTCGTGCGGGCTCAGCTTGAGACCGTCGAGCCAACACTTGCGCGCGTGCACCGTAAAGTCCGTCACACCCGATGCGGCGACGGTCGACACGAAGCTGTGAAAGTGCTCGTAACTGCGCTTCAATATCAGGCTCGGTCCATTGGTCAACAAACGTACGAGTCGAGATCGTCGACACCGATGCGGCACTTGACTGTGATCGGCGTGGACGCAACTTGCCGAATCATTTCGTAGCAAAGGTCGCGGACGAGCTCCGGGTTGAGCATAAGGCGCGCGCCAAAGCACTGGCTCGACACCTTGGGCGACGGGCACCCAACGTTGAGATTGATCTCGTGAAAATTGCCGTAGGTCTCGGCCATGCGTGCGACCGCTACAGCGTTGTGAGTCAGTTGTTCTGGGATGAAGGGCAGTCGTATTACTCCCGAGGCTCTTGACATCGTTGCCGCCGAGCTGGAGCGCCAGCGGGTGTTCAATGTCGTCATGACCGAGAAAGTAGTCCAGGTTGTCCTTCTGGTGCAGAAGCTACGGCGGTACAGACATGGCATCGTGAGCGCACGCAAGATTCACGCGTCAGTACCGTCTGATCGACGACCATCTCGGTGTACAAGAGCGTCTTGCGTGTGATCTGGCGCATCATGAAGCGGTAGTGGCGGTCTGTCCAGTCCATCTAGCGCGATAAGATGAGCCAAGTACGCTAGGCATATCCGCGGGTCGCACCATGGGGGCCACCGAGAGCCGCGTCGGAGCATAAGTCGATGCCATTCGTCTCAAGAGCATGAACCAAGCTCGTCCGTCGCCTTGTTATTGGGAGAGGGCCAATTGCTGCGAGCAAAATCTCTACGGCCAATCAAAACCTACCCTCAGGTTCTATGTCCAATCATACGTGGCAAAACGACCTTGCGCAAGGCCATTGGATAAAAATTGGTTTGCGATCCGCCCACGAAAGCCTACTTTGTGGAGGTCGCTGGGTCGTCTCGTGAACCAAGGAGCTGTACCCAAGTACTATTGTACATGTTTAGGATGGGATGTCGTACAGAGTATTTTTCACTTGGTCCCCATTTTGGCGATATATTATCAATTGGTCCCCAACTTTTTGCCAATATTATCACTTGGTCCCCAAGACATTTGATTGGTCGAAATAGGCCAAATTACGAAGCTGATTGGACGGAATCATAGTAATTCCTGCAGCCCAGCACGGTTGCCCTTGCACTAAATAGTGTCCAGACACGTTTAGCAGCTCACACTATTTGATGTAAATATAACAAATAGTGTGCGTGACCGGGTAAGTGGGCCATTTCGAAGGTACCCCACCCCACCAGACCAGGATGGAGACCAAGCGGGTAGTAAACGTGATGCAAGGCAATAAGAGGCGGTGAAGCCAAGTGTGTTGGATACGAGGGAAATGCTAGAGTGAGCATCATGATCGCTAGCTATCCGCGAAGAGCTATCGGGTGGCCATGAGGCACTCTGTACAAATGCACATACTGTGTCGTAGTTGTTCCGTCTATGAGGGACAATAGAACAGTTTATGACCCATCCGTCTACTGGTAAAACAAGAGCGTCCCTGAGATCTCCTATGCGGTAGATCTCTCGGTTATGCTAGCCGCCTGGTTTGTCAAACCCGGGCTATATGACATGTGCGTGATCGTGTTTCGCGTTGTCTTCATCTATAAAGACTTCGTACACATAGAGACTAGCAACTTCCTTCTTCATCATTTGCTCGCCGGGCTGTGGCTGCGCAGGTGACGGCGCGGGGATTCGACTTGCTCTCCTGTAGTGACGCGGGGGCGCTTGTGGCCGCCAGTTAGGTCCATGGTGACAAGCTTCATCTCGCATCTCGCTCAGCGGGGCGCTGTCGCAGCGGTCGTGGAGCGCGACGTCAGCGAACGTGCTCGGGTAGAAGGTGCGGGCTATATGGCTAAGTTTATGAATTAAGTTAGTCCATTATCTCAGCAGGATATTCCAGATGCACTGAGGCATTGAAACCGGGTCCGTCGTGCTTGAACTGCGTCTTCAGGTTAGACAGGAAGTGGATCAGTGCTCGAGCGGGATGACGTAGCCTCCCACAACAAGCATGGCGACAGCGTTCATTGCCTTGCCACGATCGGCAAAAAGTGCGAGGTCGGCCAAGTTGATGCCAGAGCGCATGCACAGCCGCAGGAGCCAAAGGTAGTTCTGTTGCGATGTCGCTCAGCGGAAGACGACATTGTGGACCGCCACGTCATCTATGCTGCATGTGGCTAGCTTTAGTCGTTCAGTTAGTCGAAACAAGATCTTTAGTAGTAGTAACGGACCGACCTTTCGGGGCCGGAAGAATGCAACCACTTTCCGATTTGCAAGCTTCCTCGCAAGAAGTTCTTCACAGTCTCAGCGGGTACAAGAGCGACGGCGGGGACGATGTTGCGGCCGTTGGCGTCGCGTTGAACAAGGCTGAGGTAGACACCAGGGTCCTCGGCCTTCACGACCGTCCCGTCGGTGCCGAGTACAGACGCATAATGGTGGTGCTTGATGGAGGCCCCGAAGTAAAAAAAGCTCGGTCGGTAGAAGTGCTTGCTATCGTTGAGCCGCACGAATGTCCTGGAGGAGCCACGGCAGGAACGTGTAGCTCGCGTCACTCTATCACAAAGCTTGGATGATACATAATCGTGGACTACAAAAGCTACCTGAGCCGTCAGAGACGCAATGACCCCGACCTTGACATGAGCCACGAAGACATCCGGCAACGCCGACCCACCACCGTCCGACTATCATGTTCCATTAGTGGTTGGAAGGATGGATGCGCATATTTATACCAGGATCGTCGTTGCCAATGCGCGTGCCGAGATCTAGTGTGCACCAGCTTGTGCACGTTTGCCATGGCCACGGCTTCTCGCACGGAGGCTGTGCTCATCGACATGCAAGTGTAGAGTGCTCAAGATTTACTTCTATACATCGGAAAGAAGTTGTGTGTGAGGTTTCCGTTTACATAGTGTCCATCGCGTACTCTTCACGACGTAGTGGACTTTCGCTGTCGTCTTTTTGCGCCTTCGAGCCTACGGAAGTTGTTCGATTGTCACTCTTGATTGTGCCATCGCATCAAGTAGTACCGTGTTTGGCCACCTTGACACTGAACCTCTTCTGGAGTGCGAAGAGGCTTCACCGCCTCTTATTGCCTTGCATCACGTTTACTACCCGCTTGGTCTCCATCCTGGTCTGGTGGGGTGGGGTACCTTCGAAATGGCCCACTTACCCGGTCACGCACACTATTTGTTATATTTACATCAAATAGTGTGAGCTGCTAAACGTGTCTGGACACTATTTAGTGCAAGGGCAACCGTGCTGGGCTGCAGGAATTACTATGATTCCGTCCAATCAGCTTCGTAATTTGGCCTATTTCGACCAATCAAATGTCTTGGGGACCAAGTGATAATATTGGCAAAAAGTTGGGGACCAATTGATAATATATCGCCAAAATGGGGACCAAGTGAAAAATACTCTGTCGTACAGTGCAGGAGCCTGGTGCTGGATCCCACGTGGCAGCTTCGTGTGCCACCCTTGCGTGCGTCGTTGAGGTAAAGATGACGCGCGCGTGTGTGCGGACGTGTTTCTCCTTCAAGCGCGACGTGTCTATTCGCCGCGCGTTGCCTTCAAGCTGGTTTCTTTGCACGTTGGCGGCAAGCATGCGTCAGCACGATCGAACTGAGCGCGATGGGCCAAGAACCGCTTCGTCGCATTGCTCGCTCCCTATAAGAACTAGACTTCCATCAGTCCAAGCAGCCAACAACATGTTGACGTCATGCGTCGTCTCTCGAGATCACCCATTCTTGGCCGCGCCTTTAGCTCCATGACGTCGAGATACGGAGACATGGCAATGAAAGTGAATAAATTAATTCGATCGCGCGGCAGTTGCGTGTGATGCACAGCGAGCGCGGTTCATAGTACTATCGACTAATAGCTCGGCGCGATAAGTTAGAGGGAGAAAAATCGTTGGAAGCTCGTCATGTCCCGCGGTAGCTTGTGTCGACAGAGTGGACACTCGTCGTGCGAAGCAAGCCACGGAAACAGACACGCGCGGTGAAAGACGTGGTGGCACGGCAGCTGCACGACCTTTGTGTCCCCCCGAAATGCCTCGAGGCACACGGCGCAATCTTTGTTCCAGCAGCTATCGTGAGCAGAAGCGTAGGGAAGCGTCGGAAGCGCGTCCAGAAACCGCGGGCACGTTGCGCGCTTCTCCAAGTGACTCGGCGGCTCGAGGATAAGGTCGTTGTGCATCGCCAGGGTCCGCGCCGAGAGCGTCGCATCGGCGCACGACGGACACGACCGCCCGACGTTGGAGCGCGTGTTGATAAGGTACACGGTCTGGCTGCACTTGCCGCAGACAATGTCGCCGCAGACGCGGCAATGGTGGCGTCGACGCAGGAGCGAGAAGCCTTTGCCGCAGCCTGTGCACTGCGTCCGCGCTCGGTCGGGCACCCACATAGCCCGGGCGCACGCGCTGCGGATCTGCGTACCCCGCCCGATGAACGACGACGTTGACGATGCAGTCTCCATGCTGAGACGACGGTTGATTGCTCTTGGTGTTTTTGAAAAATGACCCGCAAGCACGTATCCGGACAGGACGGGCCAATCAGCGCCGCGGGGCCGGCAAGGGTGCGTGCGCTTGTGCCACGCTTGGGTCGGAGACGCGCAGCGCGCCTATGGACGGGCGACCTATCTTCTGATTCCGTGCTATTGGCAGTACAGCCGCTGTTAGATCATGCAGATATGTATGTATTCGTAGCAGCGTACGCGGACGGCCATGGCGCAGGCGGCATGCTTTCTCGGACACCGCCGATGCGGCATTGGCCGCTCGTAGCGCACTGTCGAGGGTGTGCGCCAGCTGGTTCTCGACGCGTATTTGATGTTGCAGCTTGCGTTGAAGACTCAAGGAATCATCGCGCGGCGCTTTTGCGAGGACCGGCCCGACGGCTTCGCAAGGTGCGATCCGTGGTGAACCAAAGGAGCCGAGGACCTTGCGTTTCGGGGCCAGGTCGGCCGCCGTGGGCGGTGCGCGCGGACCTCGAACAGCGGCGCTCTTTGGTGGTGAGGGCGCGCGTGGAAGGGCGCGTTGCAGCAAGAAACGCGGTAAAGCGAGCCGGTTGTTGCGGAGCGTCGTAATTGGTACGCACTGCAGGAGCGGTAAAGTGCTCGCAGTCACTGGTTTCGGGTGCGAGCTCGTCGCCAGCTGTGTCGCGGTCTACCGACATACGCCATTGCAGTAGCCATTCGACTTCAACCCACAGAGTAGAAACAAGCAGAGTGACCTCTTCGCGATGCGCGTGCCACTCGAGCTGGGCGCGCCACACCTTGCGCAGTGCACCCAGGCCGCGTTTGCCCAAGATTCGTTGCAACTACACAAAGCGCTATGTCTCGTCATCGCACGAGGAAGGATACGCGTACCATGAAGGGCGCGCCGGGGTAATGCAATACGAGGAGCGACACGTCGCGACTGGATGCCACGAGCTCCAGCGTGTGCCACGAATCGTCTTCACAGAGCGCAACGTTCCCGCGGCTCAACGTGGCGACGTGTGCGTCCAAGCGCAGCGTAGGCTCCCGCCACCTGCGCGCGTCGTTGAGTTGATTGGTCGCTAGAAAAGCCAAAAAGCATCCTACGACTTTTCGTGGATGGCTCGGCGCAATGCGAGCTGACGTTGCACGATGCACTCGCCGTCTTGAATCAGAACGAGCGCGTCTGAAGCTTTCGGCAAGGGCAAAATCACTACATACAGCATGGCGGTCAACGTCTCCATGCATCTGAGTCTGTGCAATGCAAACACGCAGTCTACCGTCCATGCGGCGACAGGCGCGGGGCGTGAGACCGTACCAGAGCGAACACGCGCGATCGCGGTCGAGGGCTCTGAGCGCGTCCGTCTACAAACACGCAACCCACGTCGTTGAAGTTGCCGCGATCGGGTGACGCATTACATGCTGAAGAAAGGCCAGGCGGTCTTGCTGCTCCACAACACCCGGCCACGACTGGAGATACTCGACCTTATTGATAGCAACGACACGCGCACCGTGAGTCGCAATGGCCGAAATTTGCCGGTGGTTCTCAGCGGCCAGCACCTCGTACTCGCCAAAGACGTCGCCGTTGTTGACTGTGCGCACACGAACGTAGCCCGTGAGCTCGGCAGCATCGGAGGTCGAGGTGAGTGGCGTCGATGTCGATAGATCGATCGTGGTACCAGCTGTCTGCACCAAGTCGACGGACCCTGACACGAGCACGAAGACGCGCTCTGTAGACGCCCCCTTTGTAAATACTAGACGCACTTCAACACGTCTGTAGACTGCACGCACGAACCGTACCGTAAGCATTGGGCGCAAATGTCTGAAACAGCGTGCGCTCGCAAATCTGCTCTCGGAGGGCCGTCGCCATTTTGACAAAACAGGGCACGTCCACGACAATGTCAAGCACGAGCTGAATGCGCTTCTGGCGCGCAAAGGCAATAACGCTCGGCCACTGCGAGCGCTGCGCCCGCTTCTTGAGTACAAAATGAACTACAAGCTTCCACAGATCCCGCGCGCGCCTACGTGACGTGACTTGTGCTCCTCAGCCGTCAAGCAGGCCAAGGTACTGGGAGCCCTGGTGGGATGGACGGGGTGCAGGACGGCCAAACGCAACTAGATTCTCATATGCATCGCGATGCAAAACAAGCATCGCCGCGGCCGTCGTCGTCACCTGCAGCAGAGTAGGGTTCACACAAGGATATGCGATTGGACGCACGATAGTCGATGGGTGGAGAAGGCCTCCATCAAAGAGAGCGCGCTCGCAGATGACGTCGCCCGGACCCAAGGTGGCTTCGCGAACGCCTCGACGGTCGCCGTTGACAGCCACCGGGACGGGGGATTGCAAAAGCTTTTTTATGCTACGGGTGCTTTTACGGAAGAGGGCACCGATGAATGTCTCTGCGCACCTCGTGGTCCGCGCCGATGGCTCCTTGGAGAGATGCATGAGTGCCTTCATGGGGTTGTCATCGCGCTCGGTGATGACAAACTTGCGTTTGGACGGTGGTCGCCACGTCACCTTGGGGTCCACGGACGTCCGGCGGGTCCTATGCCACCAAGTCGGCTCATCCAACTGGGTGTTATCTAGCGTACCAAATCGCGGGGGCGCGCTGGACAAAGACATCCAAGCTGCCTGCAAGGACGATATAGAGCGCTACAGAGAGACTTGTGCTGCCATCGACTTTGCCACAATGCTGTACCTTCCTGGCTCTCGCCTTGCTTGCACACTAGACATGCATTTAGTTGTGCTTGCAAGCACCATGGCGACCCACCGAGCTCGCCCGGCTGATACGTGACAAAGCGCGCGTCCTCGTGCACCAAGTTTTGCACCGCGATGGGAAAGGTGTCACGAAGTCCCGTCATGTCGAAAAGCTGGGATGTGAGCTCGTGCGCGCTAGCTCGTCGCGAATGCCTACGTTGTCGTCACATGGGGTAGTCGCAGAGGAAAATTACCCTTCATCAGTAGTGCTGTCGTTGGACGAATGACGCATGTGCCACCGAGCAATGTCGTCAACGAGCTCGACAAGCGCGGGTCGAGTTGGTGGTAGAAGACCCCAGTGCAAGATACCCACCTTGCCTTCCGAAATGGCTACGGCTGACTGCGCTTGGAGCGCGCTGCCAGACTGCATGGAGCCCACCACGTCACCAATGCAGAGCGTCGTGAGGAGGTCGGTGCTGTTCATGCGCGTCACAGCGTTGGCAGTGCGGTGCGAATCGAACGTGACACTGCTCGCAGCCTCTGTCCCGAGTCCGCCCTCGTCGTCCAGAATCGCGTCTACGATACACCACGACTGAGTGCTTCTCAACATTTATCGTTCTGACGCTGGGACGAAGCCGACTGCACAAGAAGCAGCGAACCAGCAAGGACAAGAATAATCGCGTGAGGGCGGAACTCGTGCACGTCCCAGAGCAGCTGGTTGTGTCGCACCTCGACGATCTCCATGCCCTGCAGCAGACGGAGGCGTACACAGTAAGGCACAGCTCGAAGCGCGTCGTGGTGGCCGAGGTACGTTGCGAGCTTCTCGAGTGTCAAGCACGTCGGGTCGCGCGGCTTGACGCTGGCATTGTCGAGTACAAGGCGGGGCTGGAACAGCAATACCTCGTCGTCATTGTCGTTCTCCTGGCGGAGAAGACCGAGAACGTCCGCCGCTGGCAAGTGCAACACCGTGGCCGTTGTGATCCCTGGTCAATTAATCGTTGACTCGAGCGTTCATATAGAGGACTACCCTTGGCAAGGTTGCGCGAGACGACATACGTCGACTGGCTGTGTGAATTGGTCAGAAGCGGCACGTGGCCGAAGGCAGAGCCGATACCAAGGCTCGTGAGGAACTGCCCGTGCTTCTCGTTGGAGCTCACAGCGTGCTCTCCACCATGCAGTTCGACTTGCACAGCAACGCTTTGGCGTCGTCGCACTTTGGTCGAAGTAAGGCGGTGGATGTTGACTGCACCGGTTAGTAGCATATACATGCCATCGCTCCTGGAGGACATTTGTCACGTATCAACTCAAGAACTTCGTAGCGCACCGGTGGTTTTGCTCGACGAGAACGGTACCGGCGTCGACAACAGTGATCGAGGCGTGCTTGGCAATGAAAGTCAAGTCCACGGAATTGAACTGTCGCCAAAAGATGCGCGCGTCGCAGCGTAAGAGGGCCGAGACGGTCGTTCGCACGTGGTCTAGACTCTGCTCAGCAATCCCACGAGCAATGTAGAAAAGACAGAAACGACCTTCGGCGCGGTCCGCGCATGGGGTCGAACACAGTCGTAGAAGCTCGTTGACATCGTTGTGAGGCGCTGCCATCTCTACCAGGGCATCCTCACAGAGAACACGGTCGTAGTCGGTTTGCAGTAGCACAATGACTGTCACCTGCCATAAGAATCAGTCTCTATGCTCACAGCGAGGCCACGTACTGGCGACAGCGTCCGCAAGGTGGCGGCCTGGGTCGAGCCAAACCCTTTCTGCAAGGCCACTTCGCCAAAGCACTCGCCATGCGAGAGCTCGCCGATGACGGGCCCGTAGAGGGCTTCGTGCTCGGAAGTGGATGATACAACTGGACTAGAACTTGGTACAAGTTTGGAGCCTTCGGTGGTATCATGAACGTGAATCTGCAGCTGGCCGGCGGCAACAACCACGAGCTTCGCCAACGTGCTCTCTTGATGCAGCACGATTGCGTTGGCAGGGAACGTTTGTACCACCTGTGGTCGCATGCTCCATGAACAGAAATGTAGGGTTGAATGTACCAGCTTGCAAGCGATCCGCTCGAGTGTCGGCCGCGGAAGACATCGAAAGGTGTGAAAGTGGCTCAGGAATACCGAGAGCTTGGCGCTGTCCTCGCGCGACCGGCGGTGCTGCTCACACTGAGCGGCGTAGATGTACTCGGCCGCGATTAATGAGCTGCTGCCGTACGTCAAGAGCGTCTTGTACGCGGTGGCCGAGAGCGTCACAACCTCTACGCATTGTCCAAACACTATTTAGCGATTCGATCCTTGGGGTCAGTAGACGAGCACGAACTTGCGCGCGACTGCGTGAGGACCGTGGTGGCCCGCAGCACGTTGCCCAGCAGGGCGCCCTAGACACGAAGTGGAAAGGCAGTTGCTGTGTGCACGAGGTTTTCCGTCGTACCTCCCCAAAAACCTCGCCCACGGAAACCGTTTGAATACAGTCACCCATGTCACTGTCGTCCACTTCGCTGGCGTCGTAAAGGGCGTCGTGCGCTGCTACGCTCACAATGGCACTGTTCTTGTAGATGCTAACGACGCCGTCGAGAACGACGTAGAGACTCCCAAAGCCCGTGATGCGGTCGCCTTGGCGATAGACAACTTGTCCGTCATGAAGTGTTCGATAGCGCAGCTTTTGGCACACGTCTACTTGATACGATGAGTGAATACACCGGTGCAAACGTAGGAGCAACGTACACAGCTTGACAATGTACGGGAGGGAAGCAAAGAGGGCGATGCTCTCCACCAGCTCCATCTACGGGTGCTTGAGCACAAGCCACAAAACCAAATTCCGAGCGTACCAGCAGCTTCAAGTCGACGTCCGACCGGTATTGCTCTCTACACGGGATAAACCCCATGACCACAGCTCGTGATCCAGAAGCCTACTGCTTCCTAGCGGCCGCATGAAACTGGCGGGTTTTCGCGGCCGACCATGTGCTGGGCACGAAAGGGACGACTGCCGCAGCGGATCCCGACGGCTTGGCTGACGGGCCGACATCATCTCGGCGTCCAAACGTTCGAATGGACCGCAGGAGCGCGCGAATCTTCTTCCAGCGCGCGACGGCGACGGCGCTCGAGGGCATCGCTCGTTCGGTTTCGCGTTGGCTTTTCCCGATGTGAAAATCGGCTGACGGTAAAAGCTAGGCCTTTTCGAACCTAACTAGGACCACAGTGTCCTAGTCTTGTGATTCGTGATGCGGTGGGCTTGCGTCGTCCTGCTGGCGCTCACGCTGGGCAACACCGCCGAGGCGAAAGGCAACCGCTACGCCCGGGTATGCTCACGGGATGCATTGCTGTGCTACGACGTAGCGCTCGTGGCGTAGGTGGATCGCAAGTGGAAGATGCAGAAGAAGGCGTGCACCGACGTCGACTGCAGCCACTTGGCGCCGGCCGTCAATATGAACTGCGTCAACGAGTGCACATCGCCCGACTGCTACGCCTCAGTGTATGCCTCGGAGCCGGTAGTATCTCGTTTGCAATGTACCAAGCTTGATGCATTGAGGTAGCTGGAGGACGGCGAGGTCGACGACTACCGAGCCCATCGCTTCACGAGCTGCCTCCGCAAGGAATTTTTGAAACGGAAACCGACTGCCCAGTCGAATCGCGATGAGCTCTAACGCATTGTACTAACGTTGTCGATGTTATCTACTACTAGGTCTCTTGCCGGACGGGCCAAAGCGGCATGAGGAGGTCCACGCTCTTCTCAAACGAGATGAACTGGACGGCGTTCACTGGCATCGCACGGACCAAGCACGGGCTAAGGCCTCTAAAGAAGCGGCGGACGCCATCTTCCGCATAGAGCTTGAGCACGCAGTCGTGGAACCCGCGGTACTTGCGCACACGCGGGTCGAGCGCGTCGGCCTGGATCACCGACTTGATCGTGTCGAGCGGAAAGCTGATGCACCAGTACATGAGACCTGCGACGGCGCCCGAGTAGCCGTAAACTTCGAGGTCGGTGAGCGGCCGCCGCAGGATCGTTTGGGACTGCAGCACGCCCTTGGCCTTCTCGTACGTGAAGAAGTACGACGTGTTGCCAATCATCTCGCGATAGCATGTGGGCACAAAGCCACGGTAGAGACCCTACAGAATCTAGTTTAGTTGAGACGCGAAAGCCGGGGTTTACGTTGCGAAGGCCGTACGAGGCAAAGATCTGGCGGGCTTGCTGCAGCGTCGTCACTTGGCTCGTCGCTTGCGTCTAGCATACACAACTTAACATCACGACACGACTCGAATGGCTGCCTACCTGCATGCGGATCATCGTAATCTCAAACGGGGTGTAGAGCATGGCCTCGACGAGACCCGTGCAAGACGCCGCCGCCGTGAGCACGAGCTTTGGGTGCTTCTCAGGCGACCCATCGCCGGCCGAAGGCGTGTAGAAGATGTACTTGAACTGCGCCATGAGGCCAAAGAGGAACGAGCACCCAATCGCGGACCGAGCAACCTGCGATGACGCACCGCGGTAGAGTGAGAGGAAGCCCTCCGAGCGCACCGACTGCACAAGACACTGCAGTGGCGACGCCGACGCGCCGCCGTGCATCTGCGTCTGGATGCGCGACTTGACCGTGTCGAGCGGGTAGCCGACGATGGCGCCCGTGACGCCGGCGACGGTCCCGCTGAAGAAGTGCGTGATGACTGTCTCCAGTTGCATCTTGAAGCGAGAACCAAGGAGAAGTAAACGTTTTAGTGGTGTGCCAGCTGCTGCGACATGCGCACGCAAGGCCATTGGTCAAAAAGAGGTGCATTTCAAGCGATATGGCGATCGGATTGGTGGGTAGACTGGAATTTCAGCGTATCCAACGGATGGTAGTATTGTCATTCTGCCAGCAAAAAGCGATGGCGTCGTTTTGGCGGCAGTTGCCGCGACCCTTTTACTGCGTGGCGCCGATGGCCAACGTCACCGATGTCGCCTTCCGCGCCGCCATCACAGAGCTCGGCAAGCCACACGTACGCGTCCACCGAGTCGTCTAGGTGACCATATTCATAATGTAGGTCATGTGGACGGAGTTTGTCAGCTGCGAAGCTCTCATGTCGTCGACAGCGCGCACGCGCGAGAAGATGTTGACAGCGCTCAAGTACGCACCAAGCGAGCGACCAATCGTCGCACAGCTGTTTGGCTCCAAGCCCGACCAGTTCCGCGAGGTATGTGTCCGTTCGTCGCTTGTTGTGGGCTCAGACCGTGCGCAGTGCGCCAAGATTGTTCGCGACTTGGGGTTTGACGGCATCGACATCAACATGGGCTGCCCCGAGAGGAACGTCAACAAGCAAGGCAGTGGCGCGGCCTTGATTGGCGATCCGGCCAACGCCCAGGTACGACGGCAGTTGAAATTACCGAGTCCAACTTGCCCACAAGGCGATCGTGCGAGCGTGTCAAGAGAGCGGACTTCCGGTCTCGGTCAAGACGCGCATTGGTCTTGAAACCATCGATTACGACGACTGGATCAACTACATCTTGGACGTACGACTCGAGCTTGCTGTAGTTTGGAGGACGTCACGCGTGGTAGACGGAGCCCGACGCCTTAACGGTCCATGGCCGAACGCGCAAGGAAATGTCGCTTGTGCCAGCACACTGGGACGTTATTGGCGACATTGTCCACTTGGTGCGGGACAAGCGACAGTCGGACGTCATCTTGATCGGCAATGTACGGTGTTTTTGGCTGCAATGCAAATTCTGGACAAGGAACGCTTTAGGGGGACGTCGCGTCGCTGGACGACGCCAACGAAAAGGTCGCGCTCTATGGTATTGACGGTGTTATGGTCGGACGCGCCCTCTTTGGTAACCCGTGGTTCTTTCAAGGTATCCGAAATCTTCATACAGACTCGGAAGTTGAGCGCACTGCAGGACCGACGTTGCTCACCGAGCGCGGCACCGAAGAGCGGCTACTGGGCATGATCCGCCACACGCAGATCTTTGAAGTACGTTCACTCTATTTTCATTTTGTTCAAGACGGCGGTTGTCTAGGAGCTCTTGCTGCAGCACGGCCACAACCAATTCCACCACGTCAAAAAGATGTACGGCAGCTACTTGGCAGGTATTCCGTACGCCAAGCAATTCAAGGAGCAGCTCAGTCGTGCAGCGACGCCGGCCGAGGTAAGCCGCGGTAGAGGAACAATATAATGTATCAAGCGTGCGGTAGGTCTATCCGCTCGTACACGATTTTATTCGGCAAGACAAGGCGAGATCGCAGCTTGCGGCGGCAAATGAGCCGCCAATGCACTAGCTGCAGCACGAGTTGGGATCCGTGGGCCGCGGGTCGCGCAAGTACGCATGCCACGTCATGACTTGCGCATCGGCAGCTGGTCGCACGGCCTAATAGACAAGTTGGATTGTCCGTGTCCGATTGCATTCTGTTGATTATGCCAAACCGAAGACGCTGCAAACTGCGCTTGGACCGCTCGCATTTCGTCTTCTGTTTCGCACAGAAGAGCCACAGGTGTATCGGGTGCAAGCATTGGTCGGCACGTCAAAGTGGGCTCTACGCCAGACGCTTCATGGGTAGTTCAATGGTTCGTCGTGGAGGCTACCAGCAGGCAGAAGATCAAAGACGACTGCGAGGAAACCTTCGTCGCAACACTCGACTTCCATCTTGACAGCAGACAAAGCGTCGTCATCTGTGACGCCTTGCGCGTCAAACTCGTACAAGAGGTCGTAGCAGTCGACGTACGCGCCGACGTCCTTTTGCCAGGCCGTGATGCGGCCACCGGTCATCGTCGGCGACACTTTGGCCAAGGGCACGACAATGTAGCTGCGCTGCTGCAGCTTGTGGCAGGAGACTGCGAGGTCTACGAGACGCAACGTGTGAGCGTATCGAGCTAGATGACTTCGCGCACCGCTGTAGTCGTAGCGGGCAGCCCTCGCAGGAATTCGGCGAAGCATTTTCGAGACTGGATGCCATTGGTGGATATGGCTCGCTATTTTATCCAATCACATTAACCATCGAGAAATCCATCCTCTTGATGACCTCATTTTGCATCTTGCTACCAGTAGGAAGGAAGATGTACCCAAACACTACGGCTCTCACCTTTCTCTAGTGTAGTTCATATCACAATTGTCTCCTATACACTGGCGCTCGTAAAGTGAACGTAAAGGGTTCGTCGATGTAAAGGCTACAGCGCTGCCTTTACAAGAAAGAAAACTGAAAGACTCATTTACCGATTGACCATGGAGAACCGCAGCATCACGAGCCCTTTTGGCCTGCCCGACCTTCTCGTTGGCTCTCGGCGCATGCTCTTTTCGACCGCTCAGAGTACCACCGCACTGCCACCCACGAGTCGTCCAGCAACAAACCCTGTGCTCATGGACCTCTACAAGCGCCTTCAGATGCTTGCGGCTACCAGCAGCACCGGTGCACCGCCACTTGTATTTGACGATCTCGAAAGCTTCTACTACAATAGATAGAGAATTGGTTGGATTTGATTTGTAAAACAGCCAACACAGAAAGGCCGATCGATCAGTGCATGTGCTGACAGCCCTATACTGTGCGGCGCGGAATGGCCAGGTGTGAAAAGACTTGACGACTAACTCAATCTCGGCATCTCTTGGTACCGCCTATGGCCAGCAACGCAGTGCTATTTTTCAAAAAATCAAGAGCTGCCATGCCGCGACGCGTGAGCCGAGAACGATTTTTGCAAAAAGTATTGGTCCCACCGGGTTTCGATCCCGGGTTGCTGGATTTCAAGACCAGAGTGCTAACCCCTACACCATAGGACCACACATAACGAAATAGGTGCTGGAAGCTATAAAGCAATGCTGTCGGGGCCGTTCAGAATCAGGAGACCTCCAAAACGACATAGATACGTTATCGATTTTGACAGGTTATCCAACAGCTCGATGACGTGGCAGAACAGGAGCGCTGGACCGACGATATCGACCTAGCTCAGTGCTTGCATTTTCATTCTGCAAGCTCTGCGCACAGAGATGGTATTGAATACAGTTTAAAGTATCCATCAAATTTGCGCATGTTGCATTGAGATGCCCTGCCACAGCAATCGATCATAAAATGGAGTTGAGGTCCCACCAAGATTCGAACTCGGATTGCTCGATTAGGAGTCGAGAGTGCTGCCAATTACACCATGGGACCTTTTCTACTACGGTGTGCAATACGTGGACCGGGCGTCGTTGCAATACCACCGTTGGTATGGGACGGGTATCTCTGGCCGTACCTGCACAACTGAATAGACACGTTATGGATTCTTAGAGTCTCGTCCTGCTGATGGTGCACGACCAAACCGTCTATCGCAAGCACGGTTGGTCCAGTAGCTGTTTACAATGTGCGGTATCGTGAGCTATGGACGAGGTTGCAGTCGCTTGCTGTACGTTCAGTGACGTGGCAGTCTGCCATGACACGGAGTTGCGATCGTACAGTCAAGCTACAGTGCGTTGTGTATGGCTCTTCTGCGAGGCCTTTACTTGATCCAAAAGGCGTGTTTCTTGGCCATTGAGGGAATAGCTCGAGCGCGAATTGCTACATTAGAAGGCTGGTATGCTGGTCTTACCTCGAGAGGAACGCCCTGAAATTCATTGTGCAGTTTGGCGACGATCATGGCTACACTATATTGTATACTTGTTGTGCAAAACGGTCATTTCTAGATCAAAAAGCATCCTCATAGGTCCCACCGGGGTTCGAACCCGGATTGCTCGATTAGAAGTCGAGAGTGCTAGCCTTTACACCATAGGACCGTCCACAACAAAGGCATTCCTCCCCACAAACGGCGAGATTACCGCATTTGATTACCGTTCTTGCCGTTGGTATGGGGCGTGATGTGCAGTCAGCTACAATCAAACGCGAGGTCCCACCCCGGGGTTTGAACCCGGGCAGCCGAATCATAAGTCCAGAGAGCTGAACATGGGACCCTTGTCCATTGTCTGCTCGACACGTTGTGTTCGAGAGGCTGCACTAGTACATCAGCTCCGTGCAACCACTACCAAGTCCATCTAAACCCTCCGAGGACGTGTTAAGTTTATCTGGCTTGAACCCAAGGATATCTACGCCTCCTTGCTCTCGGCGTCGGTCACTGTCTTGGCGTGCAGATCGCGCACGTCGTAGAAATGATGCACGCGCCAGTTGACGTACGCCGCCGAATTCTTGCGGACGTGGAAAAAGTCGAGCGTGTTCTGGAGCCACCCGCGCGAGTAGACCGAGTGGTGGGTCTGGATGGCGCTTGGGTTGGGCTGGCGCTGGCTCAGAACGACCTCGTTTGTCGTCCACGAAAACACAATGCCGTACACGTTGAAGCCAAAGAGGTACCCGATCCAGAGCAGGTGCACGGATGCCAAAATGAACGCGGCCGTCACCACCGGGTAGTCGTGGAAGAGCACGAACGGCATGTCGCCATAGCTCAGCGCGCCAATCCCCGCGTCGCCAAAGTCTACCACGCGCCATGAGTGCCGCAGGATACTACAAGAAGCATCCTACAGGACGTGAGGAGGACGAGCTCAAACCCAATGGCGGCGACGGCGAAGAAGAGGAAGCCGAAAAAGTAGTTGTGGTTGTTGGCGCCGACGGCGTTGGCGACGAACGGGCAGTAGTGATCGAAGCGAGCGACGCACATGTTGAGCTCTGCGTCGTGCTTGGACCGCAGCGGGCGCCGCTGGACGCACGTCGTGCAGAGCTTAATGTCGGAGCGCGACTTGAGGTCCACGAGCGACCGAATATTCTAGTGCACCGAGCATCCATATCAACAAAATATAGGGATGTGGTGGATACCTGCAAGCGCTCTTCGTACGACGTCGGAATGAACCCCGGGTCCCGCTTCGCCGTCACATACAAGCAGATGGGGATGCCGAGCGCGAGGGTACTCTGAACAACGGTCGTCCATGCCGAGACACGGGGGTAGAGCTCGACGGCAAAGACGAGGATGAGCCAAAACGTCGAGCCAATGTTGACGCCGAGCATGAGCGCAGCGTTCTTGCGCTTGCTCGGGTTGACGCTGAGACCCGCCACTTGGAAAAGACTGTACGCAACGGCGCCCGTGGCGATAAAGCCTGCTGCAATCATCCAAAAACCATGCAGAGCGTGCAGGCACAACGCGCCGAGACCGAGGACGAGCCACGGCAGCCAGAACGCCGTCTGGGCCGGGTGCGCTTTGAGCACCTACATCGCGTACTTAGCCGCGACGATATCGAGCAAGAAACAGTACGCTGAGCGGAAAGGTCGTGTACGATGCTTCGTAGGACGTGACTTTGGTGAGGAACCCGAGGCAGGCGGCGGTCTTGCGGCCCTCCGAGCGCGCTTGGATCTCTCTCGCGACGCCCTGGGAGACATCGAGGGGCGTCTCGCCATCGTTGTTCCGCGCGTGCACGTCAGCGCCATGATCGAGAAGGAATTTGACGGCCTTGACAACGTCGCTGCGCGCAGCGTGATGGAGCCCTACCCACCGAGTATTTGCTACGGCGGAAAACCAAAATGCGCGGCCTACCTGTGTTGCCGTTGGCGTCCGCGGCGTGCACGGAGGCGCCGAGGCCGTACAGCATGCGCATCGTGTCGAGGTCAAAGGCGTAGCGACAGAGCCACAACAGCGGCGTGTTTCGGTGTTCGTCTGGGAAAGAATAAGTGACATGTGGAGACCGAGGATCGTACCGAGGCTGCGGCTGTCGACGGGGCAGCCCATGGCAACGAGGTATGCCGAGAGGATGGTCAGTCCCGACTAATCAAGATATTGTGTGAGCGAAGAACGTAGAGAGAGTGTTTGTACCTGCACCGCGACAAAGAGCGTGTTCATGCCGTTGACGTCATGGATGTTGGGGTCGGCGCCGTGCTCGAGGAGCAGCGCGACGGCGTAAACGTGGTTACGGTGGGCTGCCCAATAGACTGGTGTCGACTGCAGCTCGCCGCCTTTGGCGTTAACGTCAATGTTAGGCTGCTCGAGCAAGTACCTAGCACATGTCCCATGAGCCGTCGCCACGCTTCTCGCCTTGCGCACATCATGAGCAGAATGCGGTTGTTGAGCGCTGCCCAGTGCAAAAGCGTCGCGTTTGTGTCGTCGCGCATGTTGATGTCTACGGCGACTATCTACGCAGCAGGAGCAGGAGCATGAGCATGCAAGGCTGCTGGTGCGTGGCTGGTACCTCGCCGAGGAGGAATTTGAGCTCATCCAGGAGGCCGAACTGGGCGCATTGGAAGACCGTCGGGACGGTACAAGGGCGCTCGCATGTAGCGCAGGCCAGGCTCGTGTCGAAGGCCGTCGCGTCCGCGTCGTTGGCCCGCGTTGTCTTGCACTCGCCGCAGAAGACCCGCATGCTGTCACTCGAAATCAAAAGTATCTAACCCTTTGTATGCAATAGACGAAGTCAATGGACCGAGCGCACAACGCGCGTTGATTGGCTGATATACAGCCAATGGCATCGCTACATTTGTTGACTGAGGGATCCGTGCAACAATCCATGGCAACAATCCCAGTCGTGTGAATGGCAGAGACGCCGTCGATATGAGGAGAGCGAGGATCACTGGTGCTCTCCTTCAGCGCTCTTCTCTCTTGCGTTCAATAGAGGTTACATTCTGTGTTGCAGTAGAAATGGTGTTTGGATGCTGGATTCCAAAACAGCGCGCGAACTACATGTATAATATACATGCAGTTCGACACTCGTGGCAGCTACAGCTCGAACTGACACAACCCGACGACGACGACATCGACGTTGATAGGCAAGACGTGAAGGGAGACCGTTGACGGGAACACGCACCGCGCCCCGTCTTCAAGCGAATCGTCAATTTCGTCCTTCAACGCCGCATTTTGGACCAACCCGTCACGGACGACAGCGTCGTGCGCTGCGCCGTTGGTGTGTCGACTGCCGACCATGAAGGCCCGGGACTTGCCGTCATTGTGTCCACCCGCACCGTTCACCGACATCTTCCCGCGGGTGCGCCGAGCTTGAAGGACATAAAGGTCATCTGCGTCGACGACCCGTTTCTTTATTCACTGCTGCGCTCCGCGCACAAGTACGGTACACGTATCTGCCTCGTCTCGATGCTCGTTCCCGTCGTCCAGGAAAAGATGAAGTTGGTCGGCGCGACTCGGCGCGTGCACGGCGCCACCCTCGGGCTGTACCTGGCCGACGCTCCGTTCCGCAAGAAGAGGCCCATTTACACCAAGAACGAAGAAGCGCCGACCACGACAGCGACGGGCAGCAAGGCGCCGGGCCCGAAGGCCAACACCACGGAAGGCAACGCGACGGCCAAGGAAGTCAACGCGACGGACGACGACTCGGGCCCGATTTGCGCTCTCGACATCGGCACCAAGGTCGATCTCCTCGTGGACCACGTGGTGCGCGCCGAAGTGACGCACACGGCGCAGTACAAGGCGCTCTTGGCCGGTATCAAGGCTCTCGAGGTCACGGTGTTCCTGCGCGACAAGGCGCACGAAGCCGACCTCAAGGCGCGTTTCTTGGAAGGTCCACTTTTTGTCATGAAGGAGCGCGAGGCATCGCTCTTATTGCGGTCAATTCCTCGGCCATGGAGGAGGCAACGATTTGATCGATGCGCGCCATATCTTCGTGTCCGGAAGATTCGAGAAGCGGATACGGGTACACTGCCGCGACCGAGGTTTATCCGGATAGCCGCCAGAACAAAATATCGTGTGCAAGGATGATGATGCCATCGCCGCCCGTGGTCGTCGAGGACGACGTGGACATGACGGAGGAGACGACGACGATGGTTCCGGACGACGTCGACATGGAAGGCGCGTCCGTCGAGATCCAGACACTCCTCTTGCAGCTCAAGATGCAACTCGATCTGCGCGACAGCGACCCAGACAGCTTCCAGTTCGAGTACCTTGCACCCGACCACGTGCTCGTCAAGTGCTTCGTGCCACTGCCCGCCCACTCGTCCATGCTTCCGCTAATCCCGCTCGTCTTGTTGCGCATGCAGCTCATGGCGGACGGCACATTCGAGATTGAAATCCTGTCGGGCACCCACCTCTACGTGCCGCCGGAGCTCGTCCTGCGCCACGGTGACCGCTTCTTCCTCATGCTTCCGTCGCTGCAGTCGGGTGGCAGCCTCTGCCGTCGCTATGGCAATAATTTTGCGCGCATCACGCCCAAGCTCGTGAACGAACTCATCGACCAGATCCACACGGTACATACTACATCAACGCTTAGTCTTATCCGGCGGCGCGTAGCACGACCCCAAGCCGTCGCTTGCGCCCATCGACACTACAACAGCCGCTACGACGTCGACTGCACAGAAACGATCTGCGGCGACGACGCCCTGTGCGTCCCCGCAGCCGCCAACGCTCGTTCCTCTCGCCCACGTCCCCGGCACGATCTTCCAAGCGAACGAAATGCAAGGTGACCGCATCGTGCGCGCCCTTCTAGTCTCGATCACACACACGTCGGTCTGGCTTCTCGTGCCCCGCAACATTCCGCTCCGCCGGGTACGCATCTCATGTTATAGTTATGCCTGCAGCACTGTGTGTAGAACGAGCTCGAGCTGGGGCAGCTCACGGAGCGCATTCCGTTCAAGTCTCTCTCGCGCGTCTCGTACAAGCGCAACGAGTCGATTTCGCTCGAGTTCCAGCCGCACTTGAACCGACCACCGCAAACGATATACGCGCCGCAGAGCAGCCACATGGTCGGCCTCCTCCAAGAAAACATCGAGCGCTTCCGCGGCGACCGCGCCAAGCGCCCGCGCTACGAAGAAAAGAAGAAGGGCTTCGAGGGCGCGTTCAGCAGCTTTCTCTCCAACGTCGAGAAGAGCGCGCAAAAGGTCGTGGGCCAGATCAACCAAGTCGGCAAGATGCTTCTCGGCGAAGACACACAGGGGCCGTCCCTCAACGTCATCTCGCAGATGGAAGCCGATTTCTTTCGCCACCCAGCATTGCCTCGTGTAATGCCATGCATTTACATCGCACGCGTTGGCAGCTCACGCGGATATCTTAGGTCTACGCGGTCACCGAGTCGTACCACCACGTCGCCCAGCAAGTCGACGTTGGCGACGACGGCGTCAACGACAAAGCCGGTATAATGCGTCTTGACTCTTGTCGATCCCTCGCTTATGCGGCTTGTGTAGAGCTCTATATGCTTATGTTTCTACGACAACCGCAAGTCCAGACACTGCTAGGATAGGACAAAACACTGATTCGCAGTATGTATCGCTGCTACCCCGTCATCGAAGGCGCGGGTCGGCCGTCGTGTACGTGAGCCTCGGAAAGTACACGGTATAGGTCGTACTCAGTGGGGGTGGATCCCGCCGAGCGGCGTCCGCTGGCGGCTGGTCGGGCGGCGAAAGTGGTGGCTCGAACCGGGGTGGCGTTAGCACGACCGACGAGGCCAGCGATTGGAGACGCTCTTGCACGAAGCGCGTCGACGAACTCCACCAGTCGCTAGCGTCGCCCGCCATCGAGGGCCAGCGGCTTGACCGGTCCATGGTTGTCGAGGAATCGCAATCCGAATTTAGCTCGGTGGAATCGTCTATTTTGAGATTGAGGATGAACTCGGGCGACCTGAGCCTCGAAGAGGTCGGGAACCTTGAGGACCAGGAGCTCCTCGCGCTCGCTCGCCTCGACGCGCAATGCACGGCGCTCCAGGAGGCAGGCAACTATACCCAGGCGCTCGAGGTCATGGAGAAAGGGCTCGTCTTGCGGCAGCATTTCTTCGGCTCCGACAGCGACGAAGTCCGCGCCGCGTGCAAAACCGTGGGCGACCTCTGCAACCTCCTCGCCATGACGTTTCTCCAGCAAGAGAACTTCCCCATCGTATTCGAGCTCCTCAAGAAGGCCGAGATCCTCACGGAGACCAACCCCGCGGGCCGCGCCGTCACGCTCAACAACCTCGCCTGCTACCACCGGCGGCTCGGCCACCTCCAGAAAGCACTGAGCCATCTCAACGAGGCGCTAGCAATCGAGGCGACGCTCCTCGACGTGCCCAACCGCGCCGATACGCACCTCAACATGTGCGCCGTGCTCTCGCAGCTCGGCCGGCACCAAGGCGCGCTCGAGCAGGCGCAGTCGGCGCTCATTCTGCTCCACGAAGAGCTCTTCTCGACCAACCAGATCAACCTCGACGAGAAGCTGGATCGCGTTGCGGTACTCGGCATCGCGTACCACAACGTAGGCGTCGAGCAAGAGTTCCTCAAGAAGCCCGAGCTGAGTGTGCACTCGTACAAGAAGGGCGCGGAAGTTACGGCGCAGTACCTTGGCGAGACGCACGGAATCGTCGTGACACTCCGCAACTCGCTGCTCACGGCGCAGCGGTCTGTTGGAAGGAAGCAAGCGCAGGGCCAGGACGGTATCTCGCGCTTCGCCAAGATCAAGTACCACTTGCGCACAAAGCTCAAGCGGCGACATCCCTCGCGCGTCGCCACGGACGGGTAAAGCGTATCGCAAGTGCAGTAGGTATATAGTTATTCAATAGAGGATCTTACAGAAAACAAGCGTCTTACTGCTTGCCCTTCTTCTTCTTGAAGGCCTTGAGCTCCTTCGCGAACGTCTTGTCGACATGCGAACCAATGGCCTTGAGGTCGGTCAAGGCCGCGCGCATGGCCTGGTTGGCCGACTTGCCTACACGTCCAATTTGGGCGTCTGAAGCGTAGTATCTTGAATGCACGTACCCGACTGTGTCTGGATGCGGACGTGCATCTTGGGCTCGGACGGATGCGGGATCGTGTAGCCGGCGAAGTCGACGTCCGGGCTATAGCATCAACATGAGTACTCTCGTTCTTGTCGCCATGGCAGCACGTACTTGCGCATGAGCATGTAGCGGACAGCGTTGCCGAGGGTATGGTCTTCGTCGTGGAAGACGAAGGTCTTGGCGCTGGCCGACGACGCAGTGTGCACAAGGAGCTTCGGAGCGATCACCGCGGAGGCCATTGCTTGGATCTCGGGCAAATCGAAAATGGGCCAACCAATGGCCGCGTCCGGATAATCGATTGGCCGTACGGATACGCTGGTATCCGGCGGATCATTTTATTGCCAAGTGACTGCTGCTGAGCGATCTTGCCGCGATGGCCGACTACGAGTACACGCACGTGTCTGACGACGAGAAGCTCAATATCGCCAACCACCTTCTGCTCTCGGCGCCGCCGGGCGAGATCCGCGACGTGGCCAAGGGTACTAGGACCTTCTGAACCGCAATCTCGACGTGGCGATGCGTAGATGTGACCAAACTCTTGCCCGCTGGCCTCTTGTCGGATGCCAAGCTTCGTAGTGCGATGCATGCATACAACACGAAGAACTGCGTGGGCGTCATGGCGCCAGAAGGCACGCACCGTGTCATCATCTGCAAGGAAGGCGAGGTACGCAATACATCGAGCGAAGCATGGCCTCACAATGTGCTTGCGCAGGTCGACCCCACGCACTACTTGGACACGAAGACCAAGAAGGTATGGGGCTTTGACCACGTGACGCAAGAGCTCCAAGCTCAGGACGCGCGCGACGCCGCCGATTTGTTTGTGCTGCCGGCAGAGCCCTTCCGCCTCGCGGTTCACCAAGCGCTTGACGACTACGCTTTTACGCAGTTTGCCAACCAGTACGTTCCTGCATTGCACTGTACTATGAGGCCTAAACGAATTATTTGCGCAGAGGCGCGGTGGCCGTCTATGCGACGAGCCCACAGGAGCTTGCGATTGTGCTCTCAACCGAGCGCGTGAACCTACGCAACTACTGGTGCTGCTGCTCGTGCGACGACGATCGGCACTACAACACCTCGTAGGTCGGGGCGCTGGAAGTCGCAGTGGACGCTGAACCTCGAGACGCGAGTGCTCACGGGCGCGATCGACCTGCATGTGCACTACTACGAAGACGGCAACTTGCAGCTGCAGAGCCACAAGTCGACCGAGAAGACGTTGACCTTCCATGTACGCGATTTGCTGCGTCAGTCCAATGACATGCTCATGGAATCTAGGACGCATCGACTGTCGGTGCGGCCGTTGTCCAGGTCATTCGCGACGAAGAGCACGTCATCCACAGCAACCTCGAGGACATGTACATCAACATGTCGGAGGAAACGTTCAAGGAAATGCGCCGCGTCATGCCAGGTTGACCGTGCATCTCGCACATGAATTCTTACGCCATTGGGATCGTAGTGACGCAAACCAAGATGGAGTGGAGCATCCACGCTCACCGCACGGCCAAGGACCTCGGCCAGCAAAAGTAGGCAGGCACTCTCGAATTCATACGCTGTTTTCTGCTCGCCTCTGTCTCTTTCCAACAGCCAGTGTTTGAACCGCTGGATTCCAGTGGACGTACTTGGGCCACTTGCCATCCCCAACCCAATGCTACTACAGCGGCATCGCGAACCGGCTGCTCGACCGGTCCGACGGCTCATGCAACGTAAATCCACGATCGACTCATTCTTCCGTTGAGTCGCGACAGACAAAATCCGCTGCGACGACGTTTTGCCAAAATGGGTGAATCCTGCGTTTTGTATTGCGCCGTTGTGTGGGTGACATTGCAGAATTGGTTCTCGAAAAATGAATTTTATTTTTTTAATTTCGCCAGTTTTATTCTTTGGCCTTTGGCACGACGATGATGACGGGCAACGTGGCGGACGGCAGTAGCAGCAGCCCGACCGAGGGCAACAGCACTGTCGCCGAGACCCCCGCTGTGGTAGAAAGCAGCAGCAGCGGTGCCGCCGCCTCGGCCAGCGCCGACTCGCAGAAGCGCAAGACAGCCTTCCGCTTCCGGTGCGCGTCCGACATTGACCTCCTCCGCGAGGTCGTGTATATCCAGCCGTTCGCGGCGCCGCATGGGCAGACGACCGACCGCTGGACTAAAGTCGCGACGCATGTGGCTCGGATCCACGGCAGCGGCATCACGCCCAACAACGTGCGAAAGCGCTTCGACGACCTCATGAGTGCTTTCAAGCAGGACTCGCTGTCGACACTCCGCGCGTCGGGCTCGGAGGAAGAGTACCAAGAGCGCGCGCTGCTTCTGCAAGACATCCACGACTTTGTACTCTGCGACGCCTTGCTCTTAGCGTGCGACTCATGCGGCGTGTAGATGACTGTCTCGAACCACCGGAAGCGCGAGGTCAAGGAAGAATCCGTCGTCCCCGACGAGCGACCCGACTCGTTTCTCGAGCCACCGAAAACGTCGCTGCTCAAGCGCAAGCTGCCCGAGACGCAGCCGCCGCCTTCCACGATCGACTACTTTCGCACTGCGCAACAGAACCTTGTCGACATGAACCAGGCCATGTCGGCGCGCAGTGGTCACAACCGGCTCAGCATTGACCGTCGCGTTCCAAGCCTCCACGCCTCCTCTGGCTTCGCTTCAAGTGCATACGCGAATGGCGCTTTCCCTGGTAACGGTGCGGTCATCGACCACAGCGTGGGCCAAGTCACCGAGGCACAAGTTGATAACCCGGCGAGAAGCAATGGTACCGAGTCACTAAATGAGCGCGAGGCCCCCGTCGCTGCCGGCCGTGACACACAAGACCGAGCGGCCAATGGACCACGAGTTGAGAGCAATGACGAGCCGCCGGTCATCAATATCAATGATGACGACGAGGACGAGGCGCCAGCGCCCAAGGCGCGCCGCACCGAGTCGGACGACCTGCTCGTGATTGTTGCAAACGCAGCGTCCAAGCTCATCGACGTGTTTGCGAAAGCCAACGAGATCAAGGCGGGCGAAGTCCAGGTCGCGCTGCGCAAGGTAGAGCTCGAGGAGGCGCGACTCGCCTTGGAGCGCAGCGAGCGCGAAGCTCGGTTCGTGCTCGAGCGCCGGGAGCGCGAAATGCACATTGAGTTTATGAAGGGCACGCTCGAGATTCTCAAGGTGTTTGCCTCGAAAAATTCGTAAATTTGTGTTTTGTTTCTTGCAATTCTTGTGGTTGATTATACTTCGATCGTCCGTCTTTCTAGCGTACCCGGTAACTAATTTGAAACGGACAGGGATGCCAACGCATGATACGAGACGGACCTACGCGCCCGATGCCGTCGCTGTACGAGGCATCACCCATGTTGCACGTCCATATTGGAGCGCCATAGGTCCCTGATGTCATCCAACAAGCGTACCACAAGCTTCGGGCAGAGACGATGTTCACGAACCAAGCCAAGTCCGCCGAGTCGTCCAGCTCCACACTCCCTTCCCGTCCGTCATATGTGCCCAAGGTATGTCGGGTTGGCACACGACGTCGCCTCACTATCGCAAGATGCATGAACCGCCGCAGATGCGGGAGCTACGAGACAAGAACCGACGCCCCGCAACGCTGCCTCGGGACGCTACGGTAAGCGCAAAGGCCGTCGCCTTACGGTCGCGCGGCCGGCGCGAGTCTGTTGCTGCAACGCCCGACGACGTCACGACATTGCTGATGGCTCTCGGTTGAACGCTAGCGAGCGGCTCGTATGGAGTGACGCATTCTCTTGTAGATATAACGCACATGCAATGCGCGACTCCAAGTTTAACGCGCCGCGGTAGCCAAGTGCCCATGGACTTGCCGACCTATTTGTCGCTGATTCTGACCAACATGGAGCAAGCCAATGTCGTCCGGTTTGACAAGGTGCGCTTTCGTTTTGACCTCTAAGTTCTTATTCTCGTCAGGTCGACATGACGATCAAGCTCTCGCAGGTCTTCCACAAAATCGACAACGACGAAGACGGCTTGGTCACGATGAGCGAGTTTACGTCCTACATTCTCGACGCTGCCGCAGGTCCACGGCAACATGTTTCGTTCCAACCGCATGTGTATTTGTGTAGGCTTGTCGGAGCAAGCAGCTGCAAGTGGCCTTCACGAGGTGCGTGACGATGACTCGAAGTAGTTACGCTGTCGATGCGTAGTACAACAAGACCCCGACAATGGCAACCTCAGTTTTAACAAGGCCACTCGAGAAAATGGTGCTCACCTACGGACAAGGCACGAAGCTGACGCCCTCGTAGGTGTACCTTCCAGAAGCGAACCATTTCGTCGCTGTGGAGAGCTACAGCAAAACGTTCCAGGTCTACGATACGCACGACGGCGCCCTCGTCGCGACCTCGGGCATCTACACCGGGTGAGTCGAGTCTCTTGGCGTTTGTTTGACGCTGCGCGCAGCGGGGTATTCGTGGACGCAATCCACGTCCCGGCGCTCGATTACGTCGTTACAAGCACGACCGACGCCACGATCAACTGCTGGGATACGACCGAATTTCGTTTGCGCCAGGTATCACTACTGATATCGACAGCGCTCAGCGTCGACGTAGCAACTGCCGACGACGGACGTGCAGACCGTTCTCCAGTGGAACACACCGTTGCGGCGCTTGTACGCTGCTTCCGTTGCCGGCGAAGTGCGTAGTATCGCACGCCCGCGCGAGAATGAAATGAAAACTTAGATTTCGGCGTGGAATGTGGATACGCTCGTGCGCGTTGGTGGGTTCCAGACGCACGTCGCTGACGTCACGGATGTTGCCTTTGCCCAGCAGTCGACACTCGCCGTAGCCAGCTTGAGCGCCGGCATCCGCATCTATGACCTCGGAACCCACAAGCTTCTCAAGACGCTCGAGGGCCACCACCACGGCGTATCATGCCTTGGGTACGTTGCGGACCAGCAGTACATTCTCAGCGGCGGCATCGATCACGACCTTCGTGTATGGTGCATCTCGATGACTAGTGTTGCGACGCCTCACATGTCTGTCAAATAGCTCTGGAATCCGTACGTTGAAACCAGCATTGCGCGGCTCAAAGGTGCTGCCATCTCGATGCATTGAGTTTATACCCTGCGACAGGGCACGAGCACCAGCTCGTGGGCGTGGAGTGGGTCGAGGGGACACACGAGATCCTTAGTGCCGACGAAGCCGGCTTCGTACGTGTCTGGGACATTCGCAAATACCGCTGCGTTCAAACACTCGCCGCGCTGCCCACAGCCAAGCCGACGAGCAAGACCAAGCCCGTCACGTACGACGCGTCTATTGAGCTATTGCAGATGGTATGGTAGCGCAATGCTGTACGTCCCGACGAAGAAACGCATCGTGCTTGCTTCGTCTGCTCTTCAGTTCCACGATGCGTACGAGTGGAACGCCACCAAAGACAATAGCGTACGTGGGTACGGCGACAGGACAATAGCTATTGTCGTGTAGGATGTCGTGAGCCATGCCAGCTTGGTCGTGTACTTGCCTTCGTGCATGTACCTCGTGAGTGTTGCAGGCAGGTGCGTTTCGACGCTCGACACTGCATCTGTAGTCGAACGAGTAGACATCTCCGCGTATGGAATGCACACACGGGCGCGCTCTTGCACAACCTGCGGCATGTGACACGAACCAGCATCTCGGCCGCGTGCCACGGCGCTGGCACGACGAGCTACGCAGGCACGCTCGACGGCCACGTCTACGTACGTTGCTTCCTTTTCCAACAAACGTCGAAGACCAGCAATAGCACATCAACGCCACGAACGCTTCGATTCTCAAGGAGAGGGCGCTGCACACGCAAGAGGTACGCAATGCAAACTTTGCGGCACATTTTCTGAGGCGTGCCTAGGTCACGGGGTTGAGCTTGCTCCAGACAAAAGGCGCACATCGCCTTGTGACGATCGCACTCGACGGCACTTGCGTCATTGCCGACATGGTGTCCCTGTCGCCGCTCGCCGCGCTCAACCACTGGCACGGCGTCAACTGTTTTCCCGCGAGCCGCCACGACACTGGCGTACGCGTCGTCCCGGCTTGTCGGTTACTGAAACACGGTGCTAGAACGAAGCCAGCCACGCGCACGCCTACCACGTGCCGCCCGACATGCGCGAGGTGTACCCGGACTTTGCTCTCGATGCTCTCAAGCGCATCTTTACGGTCTACGACCCGCAAGACATTGGCGTCGCACCGCTCAGCGCCGGCCGGGACCTCTTTGTTGCCGTCACGCGCGTCGTCCAGCGCACTGTGTACCGTATCAACGAGGCGTACGTCGCGGCGGCCCTCGCAGCGTTCGCGCCGCGGCGACCTGGCGCCATCTTGTTTACCGAGTTTCTTCACGTACGTTGGTCGACATATTCGTGGAAGCTCATGACAATGGCTCAGCTCGTGCTCGATACGTGGCACGGACGCGGTGCGGTTGTTGCTGCTATCACAGCCATAGCGGTCTCGGCCAAATACGACGTTGTCGTGACCGCGTCCTTGGACGGGACCTTTTGTGTGTGGAGTGCAAGCACCAACATTCCAGTGATGACGAGTCCGCTGCACATGGAGGCAGGCATCACGGCGCTTGCGTTTCTGGAGCCCCACCCGCTCTTCGTGCTGGCTGACGACCACTGCGGCGTGTCCGTGTACTGCATCCCGCCGCACCCGTCGCGATACCGCCGACTCTACGAGTTTCGCGACTTGAGTGCGATCGTGCGCTGTCTCCTATGGTGCCCACCCCACATCGTTCTCGCAGGCGACGACCTCGGTACAGTTGATGCCTGGTATGAGGCTATTCAAAGCACGGCCAGGGCGCGTTACGCAGCTGCAAGTCTCGGGCTTCTTCCACGACCACGCAAAGGAGCCAAAGCAAAAGACGCACCTTCGTCGCCTTGGCACGCAACAATTAGCCGTGCGCGAGATGCCCAAGCGCATCGAGACCCGGCGCTTTAGCATCCACGAGTTCCAGTACACGCGATCCGGCGATGTCGACGCTGTCGCGACGTGGCCCGCACACACGGACGCTGTCTGCAGCCTCCAGGTCCTCCATTGCATGACACATCTCGCGTAGCATTGGCGTAGGCGTGCAGTGCGGAAGGCCAACCCACGCACGCGGTCGTCTCATGCGGGCTGGAAGGCGCCGTGTATGCGTGGACGTGCACGGGTGCGCCGCTTGGTGCACTCGACACCAACAACGTGTGACGGCGTGTATTTGTCAGCTCGTTCACGTCGCCATGCGTAGGCGAGCTCGCCCAACCAAAGCGAGTGGCGATTGTTTGTGAACCCTTCGGCCTTGCACGTACAACACCATGCATTTGAAGCACGAGCAACACCCATCCTCCATCTAGGGCTCGGTCGAGCGGGCGAACGCCATGAACTTCCTCATGGCACGAGACTTGCAGGTTCAACGTGCTGCAGGAAGTAAAACCCTCATGGTTCAATAGAAGACGTCGGCTGTACGGGCACCAGTACCGCCAGCAGCATCAGGTCGCCGACAGCGTCCAGCAGAGAGTCCCGCCAATGAGCTGCCGCTGGTACACTGAGCGTGATGTTTTCTCGCACTTCCGTTCCCATCGCCTAGATCCCGCGACCGCCGCCATCGGGGCAGCGCACGCCCACGCTATTTCGGCCAGACGAGTTCGTCATGAGCGACGGGTAGGCCGGTCGACTTGGCGTAGCCGACATAGACAAGGTCGCCGTAGCGCGACGAAGAGCGCCATGCGCCTTCAGCGGGCACTGGACAGCCTTGAGCCTGCCAAGGTCCCGAGTCGGCCATCGCCGCCAAAATAGAGGTGGCATGAGCCATCGAGTCAGGTCCGATCTTGTTCTTCGGGCAAAATCTTGCGCCAGATGGGCGAGTATTTTTATTCCGATTAAATTAAATACGTTGGCTCTGCAATTGACTGGAAAACGTCTGCAACGGCGACGAAATATTATTCCGGCGGGGCTCGGTTCGAAATTCTTCGTGGAAATCGGTCATTTTCACCAATGAAATCGCTTTGTTGAAAGGATTTCATCCAATCAAACGTCGACGACACGTGAAGATGCTTTCCGTCTTTAGTTTCGGAAATCTCGAGCGAGAGGAAGAGCGACGATGGCGGCGATGAACCTCAGCCGCGAGCAGCAGAATGAGCTTCTCTTTGTCGGATTCAACCAGGACTATGGTACACGAGCTTGACGATGGGCACGTGATGGTCGGCTTCTCATGACGCCCTGCGTAGGCTGCTTTGCCTGTGGCACCGACACGGGCTTCCGCATCTACAACTGCGACCCGTTCAAGGAGACTTTTCGCCGAGGTAGGCGATGCGCCCGCGATGCAGGGCCTCACATAAGTGCGACAGACTTCTCCAGCGGGGGCATTGGCATCGTCGAGATGCTATTCCGCTGCAACATCCTTGCCATTGTGGGCGGCGGGCGCAACCCCCGCTATCCGCCCAACAAGGTTATGATCTGGGACGACCACCAGAGTCGCAACATTGGTGAGCTCAGTTTCCGCAGCGAGGTCAAGGCCGTCAAGCTTCGTCGCGACCGGTGCGTCCGCGGTCCTTGGGTTGAGTTGCACTTATCGCCGTTGCCTCCAGGGTTGTTGTCGTGCTCCAAAACAAGATTTACGTCTACAACTTTGGTACGTTGTACATGCGATGGCGTGCTTGAGCACTCAAACGACGTCTCTTTTGTAGCCGATCTCAAGTTACTGGACCACATCGAGACGATCGCGAACCCCAAGGGCCTTGTCGCGCTCTGCCCGAGCTCAACGAACACGGTCCTCGCCTGTCCCGGCGTCTCGCGCGGGACGGTCAGAATAGAGCTCTACGACCAGCGCAAGACGACGCTTATCACGGCACATGAAGCCGATCTTTCTCAAGTCAGATCCCCGCAGCACGAGAGAGTCCTGACGCTGTGCCCGCTAGATGTGCCTCAACTTGGAGGGCACGCGACTTGCGACAGCGTCCGACAAGGGCACGCTCATCCGCATCTTTGATACGCAGAGCGGCCAGCTAATGCAGGAGCTGCGGTACGCGGCTATTGTGGAACGAGGGCGCCACTAAGCTGTGCTATGTTAGGCGTGGCGCCGACAAGGCAGAGATCTACAGTGTGTGCTTCAGTCCCAACTCGCAGTACCTCGCGTGCTCGAGCGACAAGCACACGGTGCACATCTTTGCGCTGACAAAGGAAGGCGGCGGCGCGGAAGGCGCGGCGCCGCTCTCGACGTCGGCCCACCGCAACAGCCAAACGGGGCAGCGCTACTCGTCCGGGTCGCTCACACAGTCGACGCCCATTGCCCGCGAAGACGACAGCACAGAAAACTCCAAGTCGAACTTTTCGTTCATGCGCGGGCTCTTGCCCAAGTACTTTAGCTCGGAGTGGAGCTTTGCGCAGTTTCGCGTGCCCGAGACGCGGTACCGTATGCTCTGCGATACCACCATCATCATGCTCATGTATAGCACCATCTGCGCGTTCGGCGTCGACAAGAACACGATCATTGGTACAGCTCGCTCGCTGCGTCGCCACCTCATCCTGTTGTCTAGTCGTTGGCGCCGACGGCTCGTTTTACAAGGCGGTCTTTGACGCGAATGGCGAGTGCGAGCGCACGTCGTACTCCAAGTTTATCCAGACCGAAGACGACGAGTAGGCCAACGCCGCCGTAACGTAACGAGCCGTACATGTACCAAGTCTGTGGGAGCGACTAGCTCTTGCGGGAGTACGGAGCGTGTCGGGGCACGTTGGGGTCGTACTAGCAGCAACCGTAAGCAAGGAGATACCAGGCATTTGTTACCATTTCCCAGCGCGACGCGGGAAAGATGTGCTTGTTGCGCTCGTACCACAGGCGATGGGTGACCTTGCCTGGATGCGACTGCAGATCATGAGATGAAGTCGCGAAGTGATCGGACGCACCTCGTCCTTCTCGACGCGCACGTCGTTGACCAAGCGCACGTCGTCGTGCACGTCAAAGTGGAACAGCGGGCCGGTTTTGCCGCGGGCCTTGGTCACAATCAGGTCGTAGAACGACAGTTGCTAGCACCATGCAATGAGGGATGATACAAATGATGAGCCAGAGAGTACATGCGGGATGATGAGGTCTTCCTTGATGTACATGAGGTCGTCGATGCTCACGGTGCGAATGTCGGGAAACTCGGCCGCGAGCTCCTTGCGCACGAGCTCGAGGAATTTGCCAATCGGCGTCGCCTTCTCGACGCTTAGCTCGCGCCGATGCCCGGCGCCGTCCCAGTAGCTGAACGTCACGCTCAAAAGCTCCTTCTTGATGCGATCTTGGGTCTCGACCCACTCTTTCTGCAGTGCGGCCTTCTCTTCCTCGAGCGCAGCTTCGCGGTCCCGGTCCGGAAGGAACGCTGTTTCGACAAACGGACACTTGAGCTTCTTTCGCTTCGCAGGCGCGTCCGTCTCGTCGTCGCTGTCGAGCGAGAAGGACATGGTCGCCTTCTTCTTCTTTTTCTTTGGTGCTGGCTTGACCACCGACCCATCCCCCATCTTAGTGGCTTCAAGGGCCGGCTCGGACGGCGCGAGGCAGTCTTCGCGGCGCTTCCGGTACTCTGCAGCAGTCACTAGGCCGATCGTCTGGCGCTTAAACTCGGCTTCAGACGATGCATCTGTGTGCGAGAGGAAGCTCTTGTCGATGCGCGACCCACGGGCATTGTCGGCCGCGATCTGCTGCTTCTTGGCCACGAACTCCTGCTCCTGCTGCTCACGCTGCTTGGCGAGGCTCGCCGCGCGCTTGCCAGCGACGACGCCTTCGACGGTGTGCACGCCCGAGGACCCGTATCTACGGAGCGCGCGCATGAGCCACGGACGGCCATCGGCGGCAGCGATGACGTCACCTGCGGAGGTCGGACATCGTGGAGCGCTCTGGTTCGTCGACCGCTGGAGCGCGTGATATCTATTGGTGGAATGCCTTCGCCCGCGGGGATTGGCCAATGACAAAAAGGAGACAAACTTGAAGTGCCAATGCCGTTTGTAGGGTTTGGCGCAACGGCAATGTGCAAGCGACACCACGAGTGCACATGCCCTTGACATGCCCAAGCGGCCATTCCATTCTACAGCGTCAGCGCAAATGCTGCAAACTAAGCTTAGCTCTACTGCTAATATATGTACCTCAATGAGCAACCTTGAGGCCAAGGCGCATATCGAAAGACTTGGATGAGGATTCTTGGCGCCTTGATTTCACCTGCATGGACTTTATCAATGCGACCGAAGAGTAAGACCTGGGAACGCTTGCTACCGAGTGCCATGGAGACGCACCACACGGAATCCTCGTGGTGATTGTCGGTCGCCTGTGGAGTGAGCAGTGGCGAGCCAAAAGAGTCGCCAAACCCCCTTTTCGTCAGCAAGAACCCTATTTCGACGACCTGCAGGATACCGAGACATACAAACTGCAAGAGGACCACGTTAGCATCAACAAAGCGTATCTTCCACGCACTTAACCGAGCGCCAACGTCGTACTACAGAGGACGTCCGTGGCAGATCTTGGACCACAACGAAACAAGCGATGGCAGGCGGCAAGTACGTATCGGCGCGTGGCGCCGAGCGCGTCCTCGAGTATAAATACAGCGGCAGTGACGCGTCGATGCTGTACAACTACGTCATCTCGCCGCTCGCGCAGCGCATCGTCGACGGCGTCTTCCCGGCGTGGCTCGCGCCCAACACCATCACGATCGCAGGTCTCGGCCTCGTCGCCACGTCGCACGCGCTCATGGCCTTTTACGCACCCTCGCTCGACACGCCGGCTCCGTCGTGGGTCTACGCCTTCTGCGCCTTTGCGCTCTCGACGTACCAAGTCTTGGACGTCACGGATGGCAAGCAGGCGCGGAAGACGGGCAACTCGTCGCCACTCGGGCTCCTCTTTGACCACGGTTGCGACGCTGTCAACTGTGTTTTGAGTGCGTGCACGATGGCGTCTACGATGCTCATGGGCCCGACGTACATGGTAGGCTGTGTCGCCAATACCATTCCACACGATTGACTCCGATTCCTAGTCGATGGGCCTCTTGCTTTGCCCAGCGTGCGTCTTCTTCATGGCGACGTGGGAAGAGTACTACACGGGCACGCTTGCGCTCGGCGCGATCAACGGCCCGAACGAAGGCCTTGCGATCATGTACAGCATCTATGCGATGACGGCGATCACAGGCCCCGCCTTCTGGGCGCAGGTGCGTTGACAAAACGACTGCCGAATGTCCACGTCATGCAATTGCGCACTAGCCCTCGGTCGTGTATCCGTCGATCCCCAACAACCTTCTCTTCCTCATCGTAACGGCCCTCGGCTCGACGGGCCAGATCCTCGTCAATGGTATTATCCCTACTCGACGAAAAGGCTCACGAGCTGTGTCTAGTTTGGAACGTGTACGTGCAGCTCAAGGCCAAGCCGCTGGACTTTGTAAACGCGCTCTTCGGAACGCTGCCGTTCTTGGCGCTCATCGCCGTCTCGGCGCTCTGGGTTGCACTCTCGCCGTACGACGTCGTGCAGTACCACCCGCGCATGCTCATGTGGACGACGGGCCTCATGTTCTGCAAGGTACATGCCGTGTCATGACCGAAGGATGCATGTGACGTCATGACACATAGATGGTCATGCACATGATGCTCGCGCACTTGTGCGACGAACCGTACTGGCTCCTGCGCAAGTCGCTCGCGGCGATGCTTTTGGTCGCGGGCTTTGTCGTCGCGGGCCTCGTGCCGCACGTGACGGAGGACACGCTCGCGTACGCCTTCTTTGCGCTCACGCTCGTCGTGTACGCGCACATGGTCTATTACGTGATTGCCGAGATGACAGCGATCCTGCGCATCAAGGTCTTCACTGTCAAGCCCAAGACCGCATAGGCCGGACGATAACTTCAATTACCCGACAATGCAGTCGTAACCGAGGACGGCGCAGAGCCAGAGCCAAAACATCTCGTCTCGCAGCACATAGCGTCCTGCCCACGCACACACTAGCAGCAATAAGAAGAGCACGCTTGGAACGAGCCATGAGGGAAGCGTCTCCTTGTCGAGTAAGTGCTACGTGGCGCAGGATGAGAATCCCAGATGACGCAAATTGCACACGGACCAGTGCTGCTTCAGTCGCACTGGACGCAGCTTCCAGTGCATGCAGGCGCTCCCAAACAAGCTCCAGCTTCTTTTGTAGCGCTTTGACGTCGTCGCGCATTTGTCGCATGTGCTCGGCTTGGGCGTCAGCCTACATTAGGTTCCGTTCGCCCTTGGTCATCCGCGGCGCTGCTGATATATACCTTTTCTTCCAGGAGCTTGCCCGTCGTCTCAAACTGAATGAGTTGGCTGCGCTGCTCGTCTTGCTCAAGCACACGGCCTTGCTCCAGCATCTCTGCGTCGTGCCGCCAGCGTGCCATTTCCGTCTCGAGGTCTCCGAGCAGTTGGCGTTGGACCTTGAGCTACAACCAGGCGCTGATTGCATGTACGGCGATCGAGTATTACCTCGTCAAGCAAGTCTTCTTGGTACTGACTCTGCGTGTGCAAGTCCTGGGACTGCATGGACGCTTCGCCGTTGTGGAGGAACTGCGACACCTGCGCACTGAGTATCCCTACATCACATTATTAAACGCATTTGCGACGAGTGCCACATACGCAGTGAGGAGGACATGTCAACGGCTTGGCGCTCGGCATCAAGTTGGTTGCGCTCAAGCTGCCGCTTCTCTTCTTGCAGTCGCTCCAGGTGCTTGTTCATATCGTCCATCTTGCGCTGGAGATCCGTGAACATCCGCGGTTGCGGCGGCGAGCCATCCGAGACAGGCGATTGCAGGTCGTCTGTGACAAACTCTTTCGTGAGCGCACGAAGCCGCTGGTGCGCGCGATCCGCCACGGCGATTGCCTCGTCGTCCGCCGACGAGCCAGCCCGTCGGTCGTAGTCGGACGATGATAACATCATGTCGAGCGGCGTCGAATCGTTCGGTACTTGAGTTCGCTTGGCATCGGGGTGCCATTTGTGAATGGCTTTTTGGCTCAGAAGCAGCTGCGAGCGAGTCGGGGACGTCTGCGACCTCGAGAGTCGCCGCGGCGAGCGAAGGCCGCGCGAGTGCCGCAGACCATCGTTCGAGGAGAGGTCTGTAAGACGCATACGGTCGGATCGAAGTCGCTGCTCGCTCGACGCTACGCGCTGGGCGATTTCGGCGAGGGACGTCTTGGTCGGCGTAATGTACGCCGAGCTACCGAGGCTGCTCGACAGCGACGGGGTAGGTGCGTCAAAGTCTTCCATGCTCAGAAAAACCGGGTTGCCTCGTGCTCGATGCTTCCGCGCTTTAATCTCATGGAGCTCGCTGCGGTGCTTGGCAATCGCCTTGTCGATGTCGTCGCCGCTGTCACCAAAGGGGTCTCCCTCGGTCCCCGTCCGGCTCCGCTGAAGCTCGTCAGCCAGCCGCGCAATCGTCGGTGGATCATCGTCGCTGCGGATGTCACTCACACTACCCTCGTCCATCGATGGAGCGTCGTCCGTAGCTTCGTCCAGCTCCTGGGTCCGGTGTTGGCGGTACCTGCTGCCGTCGGCCATCGTATATGGGCGCTTCGATTCGAAGGATTTTGCCGTGTTGAGGCTTGCTGGTTGTATGCGATGTATTGCTTCGATTCGAAGTACGTTTTGGAATTTACCAATCAGATCGCTCAAACATTACATTCCCTCCGTTTGGACGCCAATCAAATCGCTTCGTGGGCAAAATCTGCGATCCTGGGATACCACATCCCCGACTTTCTTGGTCCGCTCCAAGGACCAACTGTAGTTACTGGAGTCACCCATGCCAGGGCTTTAAGATGCAGTAAGAGTTTCCACCTGGCTAACTTGTAGTTGTCGTCATGCGGGTTCTTCACGCGATGCTATGTGCTCCAACTCAATGGTACAATTATACGGGCGCATCCGTGCAATGCGTCGCCCGTGAATGCAAGATACCGGTCATATCACGCCTTTGGACGAGTAAATTTTGTACAGAGTCGAGCGCAAAAGACAATAGTGGGTTGGTTACGCCCCGCCGTGTTGGACACATTACTCTGCAGCCTCGTCAGCATTGTCCCCCTCATCGTACAGGAGGATGAGCCCCAAAAGGTCCATTTGCTCGGTCGACATGTCGTCGGCGCGGTGACGAATGTGCGTCACGGCACTGCCGAGGTGCAGACGCCACGTTGATTCCGGCCACGCCGCCGTCGACGGCACCACAAATGTCGTAGGAACGCGGAGGTGTCCGAAATTGGCATCGTACGTCTTGAGCGCCAGGAGGATTACGTCCCACTGGTCGCCCAGTGGATCCCACGTAAATCCGAGATTCTCCAAGTCCTGGCGCCGCTCTTCGCTCACCGCGCTGTTGCGGAGGGAGCGCACGACGATACCGAGCGGAAGGCCCCAAAGCGCCTTGGGCCAGACCGCGTCGTCCGGGACAATGTAGCTCTTGGGCACAAGGAGGTCGTTGTACAGATCCCGGTACGTACGCAGCGCGAGAAGCTTCTTCTCCCAGTGGAGCTTAGGCATGTCCCACACAAAGCCAAGCTTGGACAGATCGTCTCGACGCGCTTGAGGCAAATCGGGCTGTTGGCGTAAACTGTTGACGAACCGGCCAAGTGATAGTCCGTGTAAGCGCGTGTCGGGCCAAGTAGGTGGTACGATAAAGCGCTGGGGTACACACACATCACCGTAAATGCTCTTGTAGTGGCGCAAGGCGGCGACATGGATGTCCCATTGTTCTTGCGCTGGGTCCCAGACAAACCCAAGCTCGCGCAACGCTGCCTGCTGCGGCTCATCGATCTTGACTCGGCCAGTTCGAATGTTGTGCACGAAGACACCCAGCTTGATGCCCCATGTGTCGCGCGGCCATTGCGTGTTGCCAACCGGCACGACAAAGCTGCGCGGGACGAGGAGGTTTTTTCGGAGATCTTGGAACGTTGCCAGCGCAGCAAGCCGAGTCGACCACTTGAACGCAGAAGGGTCCCAGACAAATCCAATCGCGTCAAACGCGTCGACGACGGTGTTGGGGAGTTGCCCGCGAGCGTGTAGCCGTCGCAGGCGCCCGACGTTAAGCGTTTGGTCAGGTGCGCAGCTCGGAGCGATCATGGCGCTAGGTAGGTTGAGTCGCGGGCGGGGCGGGGTCTCCTGCGCATGCAAGGCTTTGGCGACCGCGAGAATGTCGTCGACGAAGGCTAGCGTCGCGAAGCCGCGCGGCCGGAGCATCATCGCTGTCCAAGCCCGTCGCATGGGCTTCGAAGCGAAAATTTGATGAATAACAACCAATCACAAGCTGACCAACTTGGCCAAGCCAATCAGACGACAGAATTCATCGCCATGGAAGTGGTCGAAATCCCGGTGAGGGCAACGTCTGCCGATGGCACGGACCGCGACGACGTCATCGAGCTCAGCTGCAACTGGGGCGTGGGCATCGGCGGCTCACTCTGGACGAGTGGACGTCTCATGGTCGACTACTTCTCGCGCAATGGCCGGGCCCGCCAGCAGCTCCAAGGTGCCAGCGTGCTCGAGCTGGGCAGCGGCACAGGCCTCGTCGGCCTCGCTCTCGCGTGCATGGGTCCTGCCAGTGTTGTCTTGACCGACCTCGAATCGCACGTTGCGGCGCTCCAAGCTAATATCGAGCGCAACTCGGCGCGGTTCAGCGACGAAACGCGTGTCTCGGTGGCGGCGCTCGACTGGAACACAGTGTCGGCCAACGACGCGATGGTGCCACTCGACTGGATTGTCGGTACGGACATTGCGTACATGCCCGAGTTCTATGCACCACTTTTGAAGACGCTGCAGCTGATGGCGGGCCCGAACACGCGCATCCTCGTCGGCCTCGGTCGCCACGACACTGACATGCGCTTCTTTCGACTCCTTCAAGACGCGGGCTTCTCGTACTACAAGGTTTCAGACGAGCTCGTCTCGGAAGAGTTTCGGGGCAAGGACTTTGGATTGTTTGAGATCCAACGCGTGTAAGTGTACTAGACATACATGTCCATGGCCGAGACTCTCAACTCACTATCGCCCAGCCCGATTTGGTAATATTTGAAAACGGAGTTTGCTGTGACAGAGCTACTGGAAGCATTTGATCAACGCATGTAGTTATGCTCTCTTTGGCGAAGAAGTCGCCGTGGACAGACCACATCGAGTAGTGTCCACAGGGTAGCGCAAGAAGGAGACCGGGGCCATCGGATGCAACCCAGTGCAACCAAGGAATCAAAAAGGACATGGCATGTTCTAAACAAGAAGAGAGGTCTAGCGAGGAGAAGTAGGCGGGTTTAGTTCTTCGAGAGCGAGGCCGACGCCGTCTCGTAGGCGCCAAAGAAGACAAAGCCGCCGATGCTGATCCACATCGTGCGCGGCTTGACGCCCGAGAAGAGACGCTGCCAGCCCTCCTCCGTGTACACGCGCATGAACGTGTCCTTCATGCCGCGGTACTCGACGCCATTCGCATCCTATCGCAAACACTGTTTCAAACAGTATTCCGTAATACGTCGCACACGCACCTTGCCGAGCATGAGGCGCGTCTTGACAACATCGAGCGGCGTCGTGATGGACGCCGCGATACCGCCCGAGATGGAACCGCAGAGTGCGCCCTGAAGCGCGCTCACTTGCTCGCCCTGCTTGGCGCTCCACGTCGCCTTGAGGCCTTCCCAGAGGGGAAATTGGATGAACGAAAACGGAATCTACGCGACCGAGTCAGAGCCAGAGACTGCAATGTCGACGTCTACCTCGCGCGCAAGCATGCTCCAGTAGCCGCGGTAGAAGCCCGCAATACCATTAGCAGCATGGAGCGTCTTAATCGAGTGCTGGAAACCGTTGAGAGCACCCGTTTGCATGTTTTGCTTGACGATTTCCGTCGGCACGCGCACGAGGCAGGCCGCCTGCACTCAGCTTATGAACTCACAAAGTCGGAGAAGCAGCAACACACCGTCTCGCCGCAAGCAGCCGCGCCCATGTGGATGAAGGGCGAGTTGGCCATGTGCGGGAGGTGCGTCTGGAGAGCCTCCTTCGCCGTCTCGTATGTGCTGAAAAAGAGAGCGGCTACAACAGTGATGCATCAGCAGCCAAGAATAAGCGACGCGTTGAAGTACCGCCAGGCGCCGAGCCGGCCGCCGCAGCCGAAAGGCCCTTGTAGACGCCCTTGAAGCCACCGGCCTTGATGAAGCCCTGCGAGCTTTGGAGTCGCGTCTTGATCGTGTCCAGCGGGAAGAGCGCAACGTCCACGGACGTGCCAGCGATACCGCCAGCCTACATGCACGCTAGCGTGGGCAAGATAGCAATATTCAAAGGCACGTACGACGAGGGACGTGAAGAAACTCTTGGGCGCGGGGGCAGCGTCGGTCATCTTGCGGAGTGGACGCGAATTCTGCCGACCATCCCTGGGGCTGGATTGGTCGACTTTGACTATTCGTTTTGATTGGCGGAATTCCTTGAAGGGAGAGCTGATTGGCTGCATGGGTACGCCAGCTTGCGCATCACGGACGTCGGCGGAAGGCCATAAACGCGAGAAGCATTATTCAGCCTGGCGATGCCGACCCATCATCTATGAGCCGAGATCTACAAGCCTTTCGCTAGCCAGAGCTCTTCTCCACGCTCGTCCACGCCCCCAGAGCGCACCTGTACACGAAGATGCGCCATTGTGTGTGATTGGCTCCTTTTCGCGCTAGTGGATTGGTCCATAGGATTTTGAGTGTTTGGATTGGCTATTATCATCATGTATTATTATGGTGCTGCCATGATAAGGGTACGAACGAATTGGCAATCATTAAGATCTGAGAGCAACCTGTGCGTCAACACACTCCACATAGCATTTGTACATGCTTGTGACGCTCTTCTTGGCGTGTGCTTGTCTCCAAACCTGCGGAATACCGCCTCCGACATGCAAGCGTTTGTGACGGCGAACTTAACCGGAAGCAAGGGTCCGGAAAGATCCGTATAGCGAGAGGTTCGAAGTCACTTGGCAGTGATATCCATCCCGTCAAACAAATGATCGGGCCGGCGCTTCTCCTGCGGCGCGCGCTGCCTCGCTACAGCCTTCTGGCCAAGGCGCCTTGTATCAAGCCCCAGCGAAGCCTTCTCTCGTCGCTCTCAGGCAGCTTTGGCTCCGGCTCCGGCTCCTCCAGCCGTCCTCTCGAGCTCAAGTATCTCGAAGGCAACGGCGCGCTCGCTCTGGCGCTGCCGCTGCCCCTTCATGACAACGGCATGCTGGGCGGCGCGGAAGGTGATGTCGGCTTGGGCGTGCGTGTCTTCAGCATGCAGCCGACGACGTCTGTCGGTGGCTTCATCGCGCAGGTTCAGCAAGAAGACACAAGCGCCAAGGACGTTCAATTGCGCACGACGAAGGGCGTCGCGTTCCCGCCCGAGACGCCTTTTTCGACGCTCATGGCCGATGATTTCCAAATTGTTTTGAACGACAAGGTGCTCAAGGTTGCTGCGCCCGGTAAGTGGCTGACACGGATGGTCTGAAGCTGCAACGCGTCGCGTAGTCTTTACTGGCGACGCGTACACAAGCTTGCCCCAGGACGGTCAGCTCGACATTCGGTCTGTGGCGCACAAGGCGGCCATCATCAAGTTGCGTGAGACCATCGAGTCGCATCCGTACGCATCCACACACAGCGTCTGTCTGCTCATCCGTTGTGCTAGCAAATGGAAGATCGACGTCACCGAGTTTCGCAAGCTGGCGGCCGAGCACGGCATTCCCAAGAAGCAATCAAGCCAGGTGCTCCACGCGTTCCATCAAGTTGGTATTGTCTTCCACTTTGCCCAGGTACCGACTCGGAGCACGGAGTTTGGCCACTCACGTATCTTGGATATGGCTAGTCGCCGGACGAAGAGCTTAAGACGGCTGTCTTTCTCAAGCCGCGCAACGTTCTCGACACGTACTTCGACTCGCTCGGACTGACGCCGCCGACGACGCAGCACTACACCGAGGCGGTACGTCGCTTGCCCCGTGGACCTTCTGACGAGACGTTGCGTAGCGTCAAGCGCTCGAGACGGAGCTCGCCACGCTCATGCCCGAGCATGACGCCCTTTTGCACCTCAAGAAGGAACTGGACCACATGGCGCACAAGCGCGTTCGCGTCTACTGCTACCTGAGCTCCCTCGGTACGCATCCCATCCGATACCGCAGTCGTCTTATCGTTGGTATACAGGGCTTGTCGGTAGCTTTGGTCTCTACGCGTGGCTGTCGTTCATCCACTTTTCGTGGGATATCATGGAGCCTGTAACGTACTTTACGGGTTTCGGCGTCTCGATCGTCGGCTACACCTGGTGGACGTTCACGCAAAAGGAGTACGACTACGAGAACATCTACGACTACCTCTTCCAGGGCCGTCGCAAGAAGCTATATGCCCGTGCCGCCTTTGACGAAGCCAAGCTCGAGGCGCTCCAGGCTCGAGTTGTCGCCATCCAGAAGGACATTGGCGTCATTGCAGCCAAGGCGGTCAAGCCCACGTGCCTCCAGGCGCAGTTTCTCCAAAACGAGTAAGCAGAATAGGCCGGACAATACATACACCACTGCTTTGTGAGCTTGGACAGCAAAAAGCTGCGATCGAATAGGGCTTGGTGAAGGGAAACTGCACGCCGAAAAAACGATTCTTTCTGGCGTCGAAGCGATGCAGGATGTCGCACTAGAAATCGTTCGCTTCATTTCGGGTCCAAACGATCTCGTCGCGTTCCTCGAAGCCGTGCGCCCGGTGGACCGCAGCGAAGTCCTCGACAGCCTTCGCGCGCTCATGCTCGCGATCCCTTCCGAGCGGCTCTGGCCGGAGCCGATGCTCGACTACGCGTCAGATGCCCTTCTAGGTGTCTTTGAGCGCACCTTACCAGCATTTTACGCCTTGCGCATCGGCAGCGACGTAGCATTTCTTCGACCGCCGCTCCTTCGATTGCCGCCGTCGACAGCCGTCATCTTGACCAACGCGTCCGTCTTTTCCGAAGAAATCGGTGACGTCTTCACGCCGTGGCCGACGAATCTCGTTGAAATGTCGCTCTTCTTGGCCTGCGACGTGGCCGACAAGGCATCGCTCTGCAGGGCGTGGCGCGACTGTTGCCAGCTGCAGCGCGTCGATGTCCAATTTGAATCGCTGATCCAGACGCAACTCGACGCCTTCATGGACGTTGCGCGCACATCCTGGCCCTGCCTCCAGCACTTTTGTCTGAGCGTTGAAAAAGACGGCAGCAATGCGAGCGCCGAGTTCGAGTCCAGCGACAGTGTCTGCGCGTGGGTGATGCACACGTCAGCTACGTCGCTCGGCTTGTCCGAGATGAGCTTTCCTGGCGCCACTGGTATTGCACTCTCTCAAACATTGTTCGACACCAAGACGGCGCTCACCTCGCTTGTGCTGGAGCATGTCGATGGGCTTGAGCCACCATCGTCACTCTCGTCAAATCTCAAGTCGCTTGTGTTGCACTCACTTGAGTTAACACCGAGCTAGCGTCTTACGCGATGCAACTACCTCGTGTATGCCTCACGAGTCTCTCTGTGAATGCGGCGGTGCCGTTCAATGCCTCGGCGCTACTACTAGCTGCCACGACAAGCGTGTCCGACGTGGCTATCACAGGCGGCAATTTGCTCATGCTTTCTGCTCCAACGGCGTGTCGTCTGCAGCACCTCCGCCTTTGCGATGGTTCTTTCACCAATAGCGCCATGATCGGCCTCGCAGAGCTGTTAACGGTAACCGAGGCGCTGGAAACGCTTGCAATCGCTTTCACTGATGCAGATTGAAGGGCAGCAGGTTGAAGGGTAAGT